GCTTCTTGTGTCCACGTGTGAATGTTTCTCTAGAACACTTTAGAATTGGAATCATTGGGTTATAAGATGTGTACCTTTTAAGTCTTAATAGATCATATTTCTTCTGTAATTTGTCTTAAGAAGAGAGAAAGTAATTCAGACTCTTGAAAACAGCAAGCAGATATATTTGTACATGGGAGGGAATTTCCCCTCCCATGTGCAAATATACATGTATACACATGGCTAAAGAGACCCTGTGCCAGCCCTTAAAATGATCCATTCTAATGGGATTCATCGGGAATCACAAAGCACAAAAATCATACACGCTGGGCCTGCTCTTCTCATTCCTAGGATATCTTACCCGCCCAAGTCTTTATATGTGATTATGTGTATTTGTGTGTGTGTGTGCTGCATAGAACTTGCAGTAGGGTTTCTTCTGCATGACTGTCCTGAACCACAGCAATTGCTGTGGAAGTAGGAGGGAAATGTGTAAATGTAAGAAATATAATGGAGTTTGAATTATCTGGAACTCATGACTGGTAGGTCTAGGGAGCCAAGCAGAGAGAAAAACTAAGGATGCCATAGGGTTTGGTTTCTCATCAGTTGAGCTGAACAAGGTTTGTTGAAGTATCTAAAATCACACGGAGCACCATTCACTGGGATCAGCTTCGTTAATGCCCGTAGCTTTGCCTCTTTGCTGCCAACAATGGCATTTGACTGGGAGTAAGAAGGCCTCCATTTTAGTTCTGGCTCTACCTCCGGTTGGCTATGTGATCTTGAAGTAATCATTTCACCTTTCTTCAGCTGTACTTTACTCATCTGTACAATGAAGAGGGCAGGTTAAGCCCTTTTATTTTATTTGATTTTTAATGTATTTTAACAGGTAATACATTTTATTTATTTATTTTTGGCTGCGTTGGGTCTTCGTTGCTGGGCGCGGGCTTTCTCCAGTTGCGGCGAGCGGAGGCCACTCTTCGTCGCGGTGCGCGGGCTTCTCATGGCAGTGGCTTCTCTTGTTGCAGAGCATGGGCTCTAGGTGTACGGGCTTCAGTAGTTGTGGCATGTGGGCTCAGTAGTTGTGGCACACGGGCTTAGATGCTCCGCGGCATGTGGGATCTTCCCGGACCAGGGCTCGAACCCATGTCCCCTGCATTGGCAGGCAGATTCTTAACCACTGTGCCACCAGGGAAGACCCAGGTTAGGGCCTTTTAAACTTTAGTATCATGGACTAAAAAAAAATCCAAACCAAGAGTCTTCTCATCTAACAGATATTTGACACGACATCAACCATTTGCATCTGTCCAGAAGCTTCTCTGGTACTTTTTCCCTCATAATATGTTATAGGGCTCTACAGAACTAAAATGGAACAAATAGAAAATCCAGTGTTTTAGACTGGCACCAAGCAAAGGAGCAGGTTCAAGCAACAAGCCTGGCTAAAGCTGGCCGTGATCCAGAAACAGGAAAGACAGACGGAGAATGAGCAGCAGCTGAGGCCAGAAGGCTTTGCAACATTGGACGATATTGTTCTCCAAGTCGGCCCACAGGACATATCTTATGAGAAAACCCATATCAATTCTACGTATGATATTTACAAATTTTTGACTCTTTGGCTTTAATGGTTCAGGGCAGTGTCAGAGGAGGGGCCTTAGAACCCTGTCTGTTCTATTACCATTTGGGCCAGTATTCCCCAAGTGTTGTCCATAGACCAACCACCTACAGTGGGAAGACCGGAAGTGCCAGCTAAAAGGAAAATGCCCAGGCTCCGTGCGTGCTTGATGTGCTGAATCAGAGGTAGAGGGTGAGGTAGGGGAGAACTGGAATTCTCCATTTTTGACATTCTCCTCTGGTGATCTGTATGCATGTTAAAGTTAAGGGAACCATTAGCCTTGGGAGTCCACTATGTTCAGGACACATTTTAAACATAAGATCTCCAGTCACACAAAAACAAGAATAAAACGTGTGTTGCTAGGCAGAGGTAAGATGCAAACAGTGAAGAATACAAGGGGGATGGAGATGCCTCCGGCAAGTGAAAGTCTGAAGTGGGAAGGTTAGGGATGGCTGGACTCATAGACTCTTTTTCTTAATTTTTTTTTTTTTTTTCCGGTACGCGGGCCTCTCACTGCTGTGGCCTCTCCCGTTGCGGAGCACAGGCTCCGGATGCGCAGGCTCAGCGGCCATGGCTCACGGGCCCAGCTGCTCCGCGGCATGTGGGATCTTCCCGGACCGGGGCACGAACCCGCGTCCCCTGCATCGGCAGGCGGACTCTCAACCACTGCGCCACCAGGGAAGCCCCGGACTCGTAGACTCTTGATAGAAGGGAGTGGAGTGAGAAGGGCTCATCATGAAGTCATACAGAAATCCTTCCTACAAGCACATGTGGCAGACGGTTATGAGAGGAGGTTGTCTACAGCCTGGATTAAGGGGTGTGTTTTACATCAAAACTTAGCTGTCGGGGTAATGTCTTCCATTAAAACCAGTCCCCTGGGATGCTGAAGTCATGTGGGTAAGGAAGCATGGTCAGGTTTCAGGAAGGAAAAACACTGCGAGATCTTTATCCCAGGCAAACACACATGTGCACACACACTTCTGGTGGCTACAGGCTTTGAGAGAGAGAACCCTGACATTTTTGTTTTGCCTCTCTTCTTCCAGGCATTTGTCTTCCTGTGCAGGTTAGCTGTGCTGCCACCAGGGGACAGAAGGACGCCACTGATTGTGTCCTGAAGTCTAAGCTTCAAAATCTCTGCTCTCCCTGAGATTCCAAACCATGGCTCTCTGATGGCTTTGATCACTTACCCAAGATGGATAGTCAGAGATCTCCAGCTTTTCCCATAAAACATATCCATTTGTTCAAATGGCTAAAATATGTCAGAGTTTAAACCTATCACACTGGAACCTGCATTTCCCAGGCCTCTGAGTATAAGTAGGAGAAACAGAGTAGTTACTGGTTTGTAGCAACTCGTCCTCAGAGAAATCACCAGAATTCCAAATCCTTCTGTTTCATTTGCGGTCTCTGGGCTGGGTGTCTCATTTGTATTCCTCAGTAGCCCTTCTGGGCCTCCTCTTGCCACACTCCCAAGACCTACTTTCCTCCCCTAGTCTCTTCCTACGTACAGCATGAAGTCAGTAATTCATGCAGTAAACATTTACTCAGGGTTGATTACGTGCCAGACACCATTCCAGGCTCTGGGGAAACGAATGAACAAAACTCTCCTGTCGTGGAGCTTACATCCTATTGGAGAGGCAGACGATAAACAGGTATGTTCAGGGGGTAAAAGGTGCCATAGAGAAGTCATAATAAGTAAGAAGTTACACTGGCCGGGGGGTGATTCAGGGAGGGGACAGTGGCAGGGCTGCTGTCTCAGATGGGGTGGTCAGAGCAGACCTCTCTCATAAAGGTGACATTTCATCTGAGAAGGGAAGGAGGTGAGGGAGTGGATCACACAGATTCCTGAGAGAAGGCGCCTTCCAGGCAGACGGAACCATAAGCGTAAAGATCTTGAGGTGAAACCAATCTTGGTATGTTTAAGGGACAGAAAGTGGCCAGTGTGGCTGGAGCTGAGTGAGAAAAGGAGGGACTTAATTGGAAATAAGACCAAATAGGTACCAGGGGACTTGATCACATGGGACCACTTCTGCGTGAGATGACGTTGCGCTGACATTTTTGAGCCGAGGAGGGATGTGATCCCCATGGCTGCTGTGTTGACAGTGGACAGTAGGCCGGTGGGGACAGAAGCAAAGAGCCCCATTAGCAGGGCCACTGCGGTAGTGCAGGTGACAGATGACAGTGGCTCAGACTAAGGTAGTTATGGTGGAGGTGATGAGAAGCAGAGGAGGTTCGATTCTGGACATGCTTTCAAGATACGGTCGAGAGGACTTGATAATGAACTGCCTGTGGTGTGTAAGAGAAGAGTCAAGGGCAGGCTGAGGTTCTGGGTAAGGAAATGGAGTCTCCACACACTGGAGTGGGAAGGCCTGGGGGACAGGCAGTGTAGTCAGAAGAAAATGAGAAGAGGGTGGGGTCCCGAAAAGTCCAGGGAAGAGAGTTTCGCAAGGAGGGAGGGTGTGATCAGTTGTCATGCATGAACGAGGTGGATGGCATCCCTTGTGGTTGCAGCTGTGGTGACAGTTGCTGCCCACCCCACAATCTCACTGATATCAGTGGACTTTTCTGTCATGTCCAACACTCGCTAGTCCTCCTTTCCCAAGTGTTAGAGACAATTTTCATACACGACCGCAAAACACGACTGTCCTCTGTGTTCCGTTCTCAGTTTCCTGTTTCTTGGAGCCCCACTAGATGGTAGACAGCTGAACTCTCATCCCGCAGCAGGAGACAAAGGCACACATCACTCAGAGCTCCTGTCCAGCACGCCCTGAAGGAAGTCTGTAAGAGGAACCCAGTTTTCTCCATTCAGGGTGGTTCTTTTCCACCTAGAATGCTGCTTCGAGTTGACCATCCACAGAGCACCTAGGGCTTCAAGCAACACCAACCCCTTCCACAGCCATTCACCTCTCACATCCAATCTCCCCAGATAATCACAGGTACTCCAGGACCCACGGTGGCCCTAGATCTGGAAACCATACTGCACTATATTCAAGGATTATGCCTTAAGCATTTTGTCAAAGTAAATGGAATTACTAAAATAGGTGCACGTTATTCTTACTCAATGGTTAACTGTTTACTTAACATCATAACCTAATTTCGCTCTTATATATTGTCACTAATTAAACTTCTGGGTTTGAAAGTAGGATTCTCTTCCAAGATCATCTTTTTTTTTCCCATTTTTCAACTTTTAATTTTGAAATAACTTTCGACTTGCAAAAAACAAAAAAAGTGAGAAAAATACCACAAAGAATTCCTGAATACCCATCCCCTAGTTTACCCAAATGTTATCATTTTTCATGCCACAGAGAAATGATAAAAATAAGAGAGTTAACATTAGCAAAATACTGTTATCTGATCCACAGTCCTTAAGTTCATCAATTGTCTGACTAATGTTCTTTTTCTGGTCCAGAATCCAGTCCAGGTCCACATGTTGCATGTAGTTGTTTTGTCTCCCTTAATATGGAACAGACTTTCAACGTCTTTGTCTTCCATGACCTTGACATATTTGAAGAGTACCTGCCCAGGTATTTTTTAAGAATGTCCCTCAATTTGGGTTTGTCTGATCTTGACTGAATTCAGGCTAGGCATTTTTAGCAATTTTAGCAAGAATACCATAGAAGTGATTTTCCAAGTTCATCTTCTGAGGTAAACTCCTACCCTCTATCCCAGTGAACGTCAGTATCTTCATTCATTTACCTCGATCCTTCGTCATTATTCTATGAAGATCCAGGGTAGTAGTTAAGCTTGGTGGGAGACACACCACCCAGATTCAAGTCCTAACTGCTTTGTTTCCTAGAGGTATGACACTGGGAAAATTGCTTAATATCTCTATGCCTCAATCTCCTCCTCTGAAAAGCAGGAATAATAGTTGTGAGGATTCAATGAGGTGAAGCATATAGCATCTTTAGCACATAGCAGAAGCAAGAAGATGGAGTCTGCCCCAGCCTGGGTCCATATAGGAGGAAAATGTTGAACAGTCTCCCCTCACCCCCAGCCAACATGCAATGGTCATGTAGTATAGCAAGAAGTAAGCTTCTATTGCTTTAAGTTGGTAAGATTTGGAAGTTGTTTGTTACTGCAGCAGAGCCTAATCCTGACTTACTGACATAGAAACTGAGATCAGAAGTAGGGCATACTGTGACAAAACCTAAAATAGGCCTTCCCTGGTGGCACAGTGGCTAAGAATCCACCTGCCAATGCAGGGCACACGGGTTCAAGCCCTGGTCCGGGAAGATCCCACATGCCGCGGAGCCACTAAGCCCATGCACTCCAACTACTGAGCCTGCACTCTAGAGCCCGCGAGCCACAACTACTGGGCCCACGTGCCACAACTACTGAAGCCCGTGTGCCTAGAGCCCATGCTCTGCAACAAGAGAAGCCACCGCAATGAGAAGCCCGCGCACCACAATGAAGAGTAGCCCCCGCTCGCCGCAACTAGAGAAGGCCCGCAGGCAGCAACAAAGACCCAACGCAGCCAAAAAAAAAAAAAAAAGGAAAACTTAAAGAGAAAAACCTCTAAAATAAATGACTTTGACATAGCGATCTGTTGGTGAGTGGCAAAAAAGCAGATACTGAAGGCTGAAAAAGTGAAGATCTTTGTTATGCAAGAGGCAAAGCATTTGTTAAAAATGTTGCCTGTAGTCACTTGTATCTAAAATCATGTATCTATTAAGCCTGTAGCTCTAGGAGGGAAAGATGGAAAACTTAATGTTGGCAACGTGCTCTTGGCTGTTAACTGAGAACTGACTGGCTTGCAGGTAGAAATTACAGTAACTCCTGGGTATCAACCAACATTCCTGGGCTTTGAGCTTAATGCTGTGACAGGAAGGGAGACCTTTGGGGTTGTCAACCTTCTGCAAGGGCTGAGCGTATTTTGTATACAAAAGGACCATGAACTGCTGGTGCTCTCCACAAGTGTCAAGTATTACTTGTAGGCATGTGGCAGGATAGCACTTTCCAGTTCCCTTGATATTAGGCATAATATCAATATTATTAGGTACAAAATCAAGAAGTAAAGAAGTGAAGCCAAAGAAGTAAACACAGTCCCTTTTAAGTCACATTAAAAAGTCGGGGCTCTATTCTGAAGTAGTAGGAAGCCTTGAAAGTTTTTCAAAAGAGGAAAGACATAAGATGGACTGACCGGGATTGCATTTCCCACCGAAATTTAGAACAGGCTGAAGTTTTGTAAGCAATATCTATGCATGAATCTGATCATGTGAAATCTGATCAGAATATCCAAAAAGTAACATAACATAACATAACACAACACAACATGGAGTAAAAGTGAGAATTCCCTTTCACCTAACCCCAAATCTCTCTTACTTCCTCAGATTATCATATCATTATTTTGGTGTGCATCTTTCCAGAACTTTTTACATATACCTAATTCTCCTGTGATTTGTCTACAGGCAGACCTCAGAGATATTACAGTACCAGACAACCACAATAAAGCGAATATCTCAATAAAGCGAGTCACACACATTTTTTGGTTTCCCAGTGCATATAAAAGTTATGTTTATACTATACTGTAGTCTATTAAGTGTGCAATAGCATTATGTCTAGGAAAACAATGTACATACCTTAATTAAAAATAATGCTGTTGGAAAAATGGTGCCGACAGACCTGCTCCACACAGGGTTGCCACAAATTTTCAATTTGTAAGAAAACACAATATCTGCAAAGCACAATAAAGGGAAGGACAATAAAATGACGTATGCTTGTAATAATTCTGAAATCAGAAAACCAATAAACAACATTTACATTATTATGACATTATAACATTATACATAATATAGATCATTATTTTTTATTAGTATTATTATCTTCGAGCTGAGTTGTGCTAGTATTATTTTTCCTTCTCTATGGATCTAATGTCATGTCTATACCACTAAAGAGAGAATATTCCTAGAGTGACGTCTGAATGGATTCCTTTTTTTTTTTTTTAACTCCCATCCAATGCTTTTCCCACATGCTCAAGAAACCCAGCTCTCTAACACTTTACTTATTCCATCAACTTCCTTTATTTCCTGGAGATCATTTTGGAGCACTCTTCTGCTTCTGTCTGAAACAGCTGCTCAGCCTGAAATACACCACAGCCATAATCCTGGGACATTTTTTCTCTGTTCTCCTGGGTTAGAACAATTGCTTTCTAGATCCCATTTCCTCATTTGTTTTAGATTACTTCCTCATTTTTCAAAAATACAGCCTCAAGTGACTTCTCAGGAAAGAGTTACGGGAGGTTAATTTTAGTGTACCTAAAAATCTGAAAATGTCTTAGAGTTCCAATTGCTCCATGTACCCACTAACACCAAAAGTTTTAATTTTAGCTGTATTGGTCGATACGAGGTAGGATTGCCTTGTGATCTTAATTTGAGTTTTCCTGATAATATTGAGAAATTTTCATGTTTATTGGCTATTTAGATATATTTTGTTGAGAAGTGACTGTCCAAGTGTTTTATTCATTTTGAATTTTTTTGTCTCTGTTACAGATCTGTACAAGTTCTTTATATATTTGGAATATGAGTCCTTTATGGATATATGTATTGTAATTATCTTCTCCCCATCTGTGACTTGTCTTTTTACTTGCTTAATGATATTTTTTGATGAACCGAAGTTCCTAATTTTATAAAGTCGGATTTTTAACTTTTTTCTTTTATGGTTAGTGCTCATCGTATACTGTTTATGAAATCTTTGCCTACCCCCAAGATCATAAATATAGTCTCCTATGTCTTATTCTAGAAGTTTTGTTCGTTACCTTTTCCATTTAGGTCACTTAGGTCTATGCTGATCTCTAATTTCGGTAGAGGTCAAGGTTTATATGATTCCATATGGATGTAGAATTGTTCCAGCACCATTTATAGAAAAGACCATCCTTTCCCTTGACTTAATTGCAATCGTACATTTGGTTTACATCAAGTTAATATATTAACTTGATTTATTAATATATATTAAGTTGAATATACATATAAACTTGAAAAAATATATATAGCTTATTTTATATCCTTGCCCTTATACCACACTTTCTTAATTATTATACCTTCATAGCGTGCTAGTAAGTTATAAATTGGGACAACCACTTTGGAAAAGTTTGAAAGTGTCTATTAAGAACCTGCAGGGACTTCCCTGGTGGTCCAGTGGTTAAGACTCTGCACTGCCACTGCAGGGGGCATGGGTTTGAGCCCTGATTGGGGAAATAAGATCCCGCATGCTGCACAGCACAGCCAGGAATTAAAAAATAAAAATAAAAAATAAAAACCTTCAAAAAATACACTATTCTATGATCAAGGAATCTGACTCCTACATATATGCATATGTCTACCAGAAGATATATAAGAATGTTTAGAGCAGCTTTGCTCATGATAACCCAAACTTGGAAACAAACCACATGTTTATTAATGGAAGAATGGATAAATGAATTTCAGTGGCATCACACAATGGAAGATTACACCACCATAAAAAAGAAGAAACTTCTGCTGCACACAACATGGATGAATCGCAGGAAGATTTTTGAGCAAAAGACACAAAACTGCATATACTACAGGATTCCATGTGTATGAAATTCAGAGCTTGCAAAAAACAACAAGTATATGATATTAGAAGTCAGAACAGTGGTTACCTCTAAGGGGTAGGGGATTGACTGTCAAGGGGCATGAGGGAAATCGGGTTCTGGAGATGTTCTATATCGCGATCTTCATGGTGTTACACGGTGCCTACATATGTAAAAAATTCTCGAGTTGTACAGTCAAGATTAGTGCTCATTATACAACTTGCTTTACATATATTATATGTCAATAAATAATTCGAGGGAATTCCCTGGCTAACTGCTGGCGGTCCAGTGGTTAGGACTCGGTGCTTTCACTGCTGAGGGTACGGGTCAATCTCTGGTGGGAGAACCAAGATCCCGCAAGCCACGAGGCATGGCCAAAATAAATAATTCAAAAAAAGGAAAATGGAAGTCAGAAAATGTCTTTATTCTGCCTCACCATGGAGTGTTTAGCTGGGTTATGGGATATAAACTATGTGCTTCTTTCTCTTGGATTCTCTCAAATGCCTCCTTTCTTTCCCTCTTGGTCAGAGCCCCATCTGTGTGGGCTGGCTCCTTTCCTCCCCACACAGACTTCAGTGAAATGGCCCGATGCAGAGTATGATGTCTTCCTAGTTCCTGACACGTCACTGAGGCTGGACGATGCAACCCAAAAGTGTGACCAATATTCCAACACCAGCTGGGTGTCCTACAATTCAATTCAGTTCTGACACCATCTACCTGGAGTTATCAACAGATTACACAAGTTAAAGGCTCAGTCCCACAAGATGGCTCCCATTTCAGATGCCAATCACAAGTCCCAGGTTGTCACCTGTACTTCTGACCCACGGGCTATAAATTGGGGTTCCCACAATCCCCTCCTCAGCTTTGATAATTTGTTAGATCAACTCACAGAACTCAGGAAAACATTTTACTTTCTAGATTACCAGTTCATTATAAAAGGATACAATTCAGGAATAGCCACATGGAAGAGATGCATAGCTTGAGGTACGGGGGAGGAGCCGCAGAGATTCCACACCCTCTTGGGACGTGCCACCCTCTCAGCACCTCTATGTGTTCAGCAACCTGGAGGCTCTCCGAACTCTGCAGTTCAGAGACGCTTACGGAGGCTCCATCACACAGGCAGGATCAGTTATTAACTCAATCACCAGCCCCTCTCCCCTTTCTGGAGGATAGGGAAGTGGAGCTGAAATTTCCCTGCTTCTAATTATGGCTTGATCTTTCAGGTGACCAGCCCCTATACTAAAACTCTCTAGAATTCTGTCCACCAACAGTCACCACATTCGAACCAAAGATGCTCCCATCACTCAGGAAATTCCAAGAGATTTAGGAGTTCTGTATCAGCAACTGGGGTCAAAGACCAAATATTAGAACAAAAGATGTTCCTAGCACCTATATTGCTTAGGAAATTACAAAGGTTTTAGGAGATCTGGCCAGTAGTCCGGAATATATATATATCTTATATTGCAACGTCATAGGAGGTTACAGTCCCATGGAATGGATCTTGACCAGTGGAAAACAGACACGAGGAATACACTGGCAAGATAAATTCCCACCCCTTTCTTTCTTGGACCACTTGGAGGTGCAGTGCCTTTCGAAGACCTTCGAGAGAAGACTCAAGCACTGAGCATACACACGTAATGAGTTTGGGGCTCAATGTGAATCGGTGGTCAGTGCAGTGATGCTTAACATCTGGTGCTTCATACTTCCTTGCCTCACTTCCCCTGTTCCTCACCCTCACCACCCTGGGCTTATACCTAGCAAGCAAAGTATCACCACTTTAATCTTTGCTTTAAACTCTGCTTTTGAGAGGCCCTACTCTGAGATAGCATAGAATTCAAGGTTGAATATAACTTCCAGCAAAACTTTGAGGGCCTTAGTTCATGGTCTTCTAGTTGCCAGTGTTGGTAGAAACAGTTTGAGTCTTTCTGCATTATGGGTTAACTGTGTTTTGATTTGTTTGATTTTGCTTTAATTTTTCTTCTCTGTAGGCTATTGCCATCTTGCTTTAACCTGATATTCTGAAATGTTGTAAAATTGTGTCTAGATGTGGGGATGTGTTTTCAATGTACTGGTTACTCAGTGGAATCTATCAGCGTGATGACTTGTGTCATTTAGCGCAGATAAATTATCTTATCTCTTTGATGCTTTTCTCCCACCTGCTATCTCTGTACTCTTTCTGGAACTTTCATTGGTTGGATGAGGGATTCTACTCTTGTCAGTCACAGTTGTCACTATTCTCCTTCTTTACCTCTGGTATCTCCATGTCCCTAAACCCTCTGGCATTCTTCAGGATAGGTAGGCATCTTCCTAAGCTTTAGTCTCCTCCTCACATAATTCTGGTTTTGGTTTCCTCCATCCCAGTTCATGAATCACCACTCCTCTACCAATTATCCAGCTTCTAGGAATATGTTGAAATCTTTTATCCCTTGATGGTCCTCTTCTATTCTTTTTGCATGGGTTATACTATTATTATTTTTAAATGTGCTTTATGAGTCTTGGGAGAAAGAGAAGGACAATTGCTTAGGGTCAGTTCACCATCTTGAACTGTAAGTGTCTGAATTTTTATTGTGTAGTTCAATCTGTCTTTTCCACGTGACTTGTGGGTTTCATGACTATTTAACAAGGCTATGTTTTTTCTAAATGCTGGGTATGCTTTGGATTCATTTTCCCAGTATAATCTTCACTTAGAGAAGAGCTTATAAGTTCTCTGCCATCTGAAAGCAATCAATACCACCTTCAGCAGAACTTTATCCAGCAGGTCAAAACTTCCTCATTTCTGAAAATAACTAATTTTGTTTTTAAATACCAGTAAGAAAGTGAAAGTTAAAAGAAAAAACTTTTTTTAGTATATTCTGTATTTTTCACTTTCAGCAGAAGATTTAAGGCATTGTTTTTATAAGCATAAAACTACTTTTCTTTTTCAATGCCTTAAATATCATGTAACTGTTTTCCCCTCCCCACTTTTAAAGCAACCTAATTCTTGATTTTTATCTTTAAATTAATTGTAAACAAAGTTTATTTTTTTAAGGAAAACCTATACAAGTTCGCCTTCCCTTTCTCCAAGAAATGTGGACATTCCTGTACTGGAAATTAGACATACTAACTTATTATTAGACATACTAATAATGCAAAACTTAAGCCGTCTAGGAACACCCTGAAATGAGTCATTCTCAATATCTGCACTTTCCAGATAACTGAAAATTTACCCTTTAAACAAAGGCAAAAATCTTAACCACTGTGCATGAATATTTAGCTGACTCAACATGATTTAACTCTTTTGTGAATGGAGTATTAAAAACATCATTGCCACTACACATGTTATTGTGTCAAATTGTAGGTTCTAATGAGTATTCCCAGCCCTTTAGGTTCTGGCCAGTACACTGACCAGAGAAAAAGTTCAGTGTTTATAGCATTTGTTGAATATGAATGAATGAATGAATGAAGACATACAGTACCAAAAGAAAAAAAAAAAGGAATACAGTACCATGATGCCTTTAAGTTCTGTTGAGGTATATGGACCTCTTTGCCCTTACACTAAATGACCCCAGATTGTTGTGCTTCTGAGTTACGGGCCTCTCACTGCTGCGGCCTCTCCCGTTGCGGAGCACAGGCTCCGGACGCGCAGGCTCAGTGGCCATGGCTCACGGGCCCAGCCGCTCCGCGGCATGTGGGATCTTCCCGGACCGGGGCACGAACCCGTGTCCCCTGCATCGGCAGGCGGACTCTCAACCACTGGGCCACCAGGGAAGCCCGCTTCTGAGTTTTTGAGTCTGTTTGTAGCATTTCTTTCTTTGTCCTTTCTTTAGGTTCTCAGATGTCACTTGGTACCATTGTGTGTATACCTCTAATAATTCTTCTCTCTTCTTTTAACCCTGGGACCAAGATCACGAAGCTTGTTATGGCAAGTGTGAAAAAGCTCTGACTGAATTTCAGATTGTTTTTGGCAGATTTGGTTTCAGAGTTTAATGTACTGTTTGTGGATTTTAGTTCTACTTTGGCAGCTCAGACACTTCCTCCTGCCCTCATCCCCAGTTTTTAGTTCTGTTTCAGACAGTAAGATTGCCCGATAGCTTATTTCTACATAGAACAACATGCTAGTCATTTGGGTAGAACTGTCTAAAATAAATTTCCTGTATTTTCTACGTGGCAACAATTTGGGCTCCATGATCCCAGGGATTTTCAAAGCAAGTAAAACGCCACATAAGTCATGACAATTCAAAGGATATAGTGTTTTTACTCACAGTGAAGCCAACATGTTCTTTATGGCAACCCCCAGAAAACTTTCCCAGGCAATGTGAGCATGAATATAATCACCTTCAACTCTCATCCTGGACCCCTCCAGATTCGGCACTACTAGGTCGAATCTGCTCCATTCTACACATTTCACCGTTGAGCAAGCCAGCCTGGGCATACTATCATGGAAAAGGTAGACGAGAAAAAGAGAGAAGAGAAGCATGCCAGGTTTCTTGAGGTCTAGACTCTAGAACACACACATCAATTTCACTGCATTCTATTGGTCAGTGCAAGTCACAGGAATAGCCCAGATTCAAGCGGTGAGCAAATACACTCCTCTTGATGGAAGAAACTGTGAAGCCACATATCAGAGGACATGGATACAGAGAGAAGTGGAAAATCGGGGCCACACTGCAATCAACTGAAATGTTATTTACTTTTTTTAAAGCAAGGAAAAAGAATCACTCCATTTAATTTTAATATTCCCTATTTTGTTTCACTCCGTCTAATTAATGCTGTATCATCTAGTGATGTTTCATTTTTTCCCTATTTCCACCTCCACTCTCGATATACAATATCTTAAAGAGGAAGATTTCTCAAAATGCATTTTTCTACCTACCAAGTGGAAAGTAAAATTTGCTGAATGTTTTCTACAAAGGAAAAAAGTGCAAAAAGTCATATTCCTGAAAGGAGTTTTACAGTCTACTTTCATTGTGAGTTGGATGTGGCCTTTGATCTCAGTAAAGTCACAGGCACATTGGCCCTAGAAGAATGAAACACCGAGTAATAAATGCACCAGGAAGTTGACAGCAGAGTTGCCTGAGTTTAATACTTTAGCCCTGGATAGGTGCTGCAGAGGTCCCAACTGGAAAACAGGATCATCAGATAGGTGTGCTGACCTTCATTAGCTACATATGGAATAACTACCATGTGAATCGTGTGCTCTGGTGATTTTCAGCCACTACAGGTGCGTTAACTAACCCCAGGTAATGCTTAGATAGCATGATTCTTTTTTCTTATCAACCAATGCAAGGATATCTGAAATTTGCTCTAAAATCTCAGGAAAGACAAAGGTGATTCCTTCCTTCTGCCCTGAATTCCCCACCGTCCCCCATCTGATCTGAAAGAGTGATGTTTAGCTTCTATGTGAGTGGGAGGGCTGGTGATTTTCTTGTTACTTAATTGGGAACTGCATGACTGGAAAGAGGAAGCCATGTTTAGTAATCAAGTGATCTAACACAATGGTAAACTTGGTGATTACTTAATATTCTAATGTAATTCTGAAACTTATGAAGGTCTTTTGAGCCTAATTTTTAAAACATAAGTCAGATTAACTGTATTTGGAGTAGTCTTCTCCGAAGGATGAAGTTTCAGAATATAATACTTTGGGCTGTTTCCAGAAATCAGACAGGTACAGTTCTCAGAGTAAGATCAAGAAAATAAATTCATAGCGGCCACTATTCATGTCTAATGTTTCTTAGTACTTCCTTTTGTCCACAGAATGGTATATACACAACAACATTTAGAGTTGAGAAATTGTCCTTTTATAACTTAGCTTCTTCCTCATGCAATTTTACTTCATAACACACCCACACCCCCCCCCACACACAATATTGACGATAACTGGCCTTTTCTGTCAGATAGAAATCCTTTATGCACAAAATAAATATAAAAATGTAGATTACATAAATATTATTGAGCCACTCTGAAGGCTTCTTTTCTCCAAGCAAAATCACTCCATTTCTTAATAGGTCCATTCGTAAGTGAAAATTAGGTTACGGGATAGTGACGTAGGAGAACCCAGCTTCCTGATCTCCCTACAAAGATTAATGACTGGACACTCTCCCTGAACAGAAACAGCTCTGGGAAACCTCTAGAGTCCACTTAGGGACTTTCAGCAACACCGTGGAACAAAAAACCTGAGAACAATCACACACAAAGAAAAGAAAAACGAATTCTTTCGGCCCCCCATCACCCCTCCACCCCAGCCCCTGCAGCTGGCGTTGTTCAGGGCTAAGAAGGAAGCTCCCAGTTAGAAAGAGTGCCCCTCACCAAAACTTACCCCTTCCTTAAGAGTGGGGTGAGTGACAGCGTCCTCAGCTTCCTGGGACCCCTCACGAAGGTTCTGCTTCAGTTTCACCCCACCCCACCAGCAAAGCTGAAATGTCAATACAGCCGGCTACGAGCTAGGAAGGAAAGCAGAGGCTATTATTAGCAGACACGTAGTGGGAGAGAGCGTGATTCACAGAGACCCGCCCTGCACAGAAACTCAGGTTTTCCCACTGATGAAGCCAATGGCCAGCACAGCTGCTGCAGACGCGCTGCTGATATCTCCAGCTTTTGCCCCACAGGTATTCTGTTCAATGACGCTAACTACCTGAGTCTCTCCCTGCTCCCCACCTACTGCCACCCCACCCACCAGAAGCGAGATCACACCTGCAGCCAGTGAGCTCTCTGCGGCTGGGCAAGTGTAAGAGGCCAGCCGCCTGAGTCCCTCCCCACCCCTATCAGAGCCCTGGAGCCATGCTCACAGCCGGGTAGAGCTTCTGCAGCTGCCTAAGTGCAAAATCCCAGCCTGCTCCCCACCCCTAGGTGATCCCACGGCCTGCTCTGGAGGCTAGCCCCTGTAGCTGTGCACCACTGCAGCCTGCAAGCCCGGGGGAGGGTGTGTAGCCACGGGTGAGTGAGCAGCCATGGGTGAGTGCACGCACGACCACAGCTGCTTGTGGGCCCAGATCAGGCCGTGTCTGTCACTGGCCAGCACCACCCTGCCCACCTCCGGCTTTGCACCTGCACGCCCCCAGCCTGACCCCATCACCAGCCTCCACTGCAGGGTGCACACCCAGCAGGGGAGAGTATGCAGCCACAGGAAAGCATGTGAACAGCCAGGTCCCCTGCAGCTACTAGAGAGCACATAGTTAGCCCGACCCTTGCTACCTGCCCTGGTTCCCATCACTACGAGTGTGTCTGCAACTAGCCTCAGTCACTACATGGGCACCTGCAGCTGGCCTCCACAACCAAGTATATGTATACCACCAGTTCTGGCCACCCCCACCGCCTACACTAGCTACTGGAACTGGAGGTACAGTTTAGGATCCTAACAGCCCTTGCAGCCACTGCAGACTGCCCCCAGCCCCCGCCCCATGCAGTACTCACCAAGGACCACACAGCGGCCTGAGCTGAAGAGACACTGCACTTCTCCAGACCACACTTGGCACCCTGCACCAGTAGACCCAGGGTCACAACATGATCCAGTATGCCCCCTTCTGCAGGTAAAAGGCTTCCCTTACAGCAGTCAGTCCATCAAGTCTGGAAGAAATGACTGCTTCTTCAAATATGCTGACATCTATTGAAGGCTACAGGGATCATGAAGAATCAGGGAAACATGTCTCCACCAAAGGAATACAGTAACATTTCAGCAACTGGCCCCAGAGAAATGGAGATCCAGGAATTGCCCAATAAAGAATTCAAAATAATTATTCTACATATGCTCAGAGAGCTACACGAGAACACAGATAAACAATTTAATGCTATCAGGAAACAATACAAGAACAAAATGAGAAGTTCTAAAAAAGATAGAAAAAATAAAAAGAACCAAACAGAAATTTTGGAGCTGAAGAATACAATAACTGAACTGAAGAATTCAACAGAGAGCTTCAACAGTAGACTTTAGCAAACAGAAGAGAGAATCAATGAGTGCGAAGATAGACCAATCGAAATTATCCAATCAATGAGCAAGAAGAAAAAAGAATGGCAAAGGATGAAGAAAGCCTAGGGGAATTATGGGGCACCATAAAAAATAATGTATACGTCATTGGAGTTCCAGAAGGAGAAGAGAGGGGAAAAGGAGAAGAAAGCTTATTTAAAGAATAATGACTGAGAGCTTCCCAAACATGGGAAGAGATTAAGATATCCAAGTTCATGAAACTAATAGGTCACCTAAAAATTTCAACCCAAAACAATCTTCTCCAAGAGATGTAAAACAAAACAAAACAACAACAACAACAACAAAAACTGTCTAAAACCAAAGAGAGAATTCTAAAAGCAGCAAAAGAAAAAAAAAAACTCGTACAAGGGAACTTCTATAAGGCTATTAGTGGATATCTCAGCAGAGACCTTGCAGGCCAGGAGAGAATGGGATGATATATTCAAGACGCTGAAAGAAAGAAGCTGACAGTCAAGAATACTTTACCCAGCAAAGCTGCCTTTTAGAATTGAAGGCAAAATAAAAACTTTCCCTAATAAACAAAAGCTGAGGGGATTCCTTACCACTAAATCTGCCTTACGAGAAATGCTGAAAAGAGTTCTTCAAGCTGAAACAAAAGGATGCTAATTAGTAACATGAAAACATGTGAAAATATACAACACACTGGTAAAAGTAAGCATAGGGTTAGATTCAGAATACTGTAATATGGTGATGTGTTGACTACTTAACTCTATATAAAGGTTGAAGGACAAAAGTATTAAAATGGCTATAGCTTCAACAATTTGTTAACGTCAATCGTTACACAATATAAAAAGATGTAAATGGTGACATAAAAATATAAAAGGGCGTAGAAGAAGGATTGAGTTTTTGTATGTAATCAAAATGAAATTATCAGTGTACGATAGACTGTTATATATATGTTCTATGTAAGCCACATGGGAACCGCCAAGCAAAAATGTACAGTACATACACAAAAGGTAAAGAGGAAGGGTACCACTAAGGAAGGTAAACGTAAAGCGTACCACTAAGGAATTCCTCAATTTACAAAGGAAGACAGCAAGAAAGGAATAAAAGAAAAATAGAACTACAAAATGGCCAGAAAACAATTTAAAAGATCTCATTAGTAAGTCCTTACCAATCGATCATTACTCTAAATGCTAATGGATTGAATTCTCCAATCAAAAGGCAGAGAGTAGCTGGATGGGTAGAAAACAAGACCCAACTATATGCTGCCTACAAGAGGCTTACTTCAGCTTTAAGGACACACATAGGCTCAAAGTGAAGGGATGGCAAAAGATATTCCACGTAAGTGGAAACAAAAGAGAGCAGGAGTAGCTATACTTATACCAGACAACATAGACTTTAAGGCAAAAATGGTAACAAGAGACAAAGATGGTCATTATATAATGATAAGGTGGCCAATTAGTCAAGAAGATATAATAATCATAAATGTATATGCACCCAATATTGGAGCACCTAAATGCATTAAGCAAATACTAACGGATCTGAAGGGAGAAAGAGACAACAATCCAATAATAGTAGGGGACTTCAATACCACACTCTCAACAATGGATAGGTTATCCAGACAGAAAATTAACAAGGAAATGTTGCACCTGAAACACAATTTAGACCAATGGAACCAACAGAAATATACAGAACATTCCATCTAACAGCAACAGAATACACATTCTTCTCAAGCACACACAGAACATTCTCTAGGATAGATTAAATGATAGGTCAGAAACAAGTGTTAGTAAATTTAAGAAGATTGAAATCATAAGTATCTTTTCTGACCACAATGGTATGAAGCTAGAAATCAATAACAGGAAGAAACTGGAAAATTCACAAATATGTGGAAATTAAACAACATGTTCCTGAACGCCAATGGGTCAAAGAAGAAATCAAAGATAAATCAAGAAGTATCTCAAAACAAATGCAAATGGAAGTGCAACATGTCAAAACCTGTGGGTTACTGCAAAGAGTATATCTTAAATGTTCTCACCACAAAAAAAGCGATGGTAATTATATGACAGGATGGAAGTGTTAGCTAATTCTATCACGGTAATCATTTTGCAATATACAAGTGTATCGAATCAACACATTGTATATCTTAAGCTTACACAATGTTACGTATCAATTGTATCTCAATAAACCTGGGGGAAAAAGAAATTGGCAGATTATTGAGGTTTAAGAATCCAGATATTTTGTAACCATCATTATAAAAATTGGTTCAGTGTAATTTCATCAATGAAGGCCAGAATGAGACTGGGTGAAAGACAATTGGAGAAAATGATATTTATACAGTCAGTACATATTCCCCAAATGCTAATTACTAATTACAAAAGTAAAATAATACCTTTACGTTTATAACAGAAGAATCTGGTGATGAAACTTAATACCACTAATAACAGGACAAACTGACAATACCTACCTCCTGATACAATGCACTAAGGATACAATGTCACCTATACGTAGACTATATAGTAAATGCTAGTTTTGTATCAGTGTTAAATTTCTTGGATTGGTTCATTGCATTGTGGTTATATAAGTGAAAGTTGCTGTTCTTTGGAAAAACATTATTTGGTGAATCATCATGCTGTACGCTTTAAATATCTTATAATTTTATTTGTCAGCTATACCTCAATAAAGCTGAAAAAACAACAGAATAAATAAAAGTAAAAATTAGCATGAATCCAGTTAACGAATGTTTCTAAACTAAGGAACCAAGATACTTCGACGGCATAAACCAGAGGTTTATACCACCGCTGTTACCCAGCTATTCTTGGTGCAGAATCTGTACCTAGCACAATAGCTTTAAAAATATCCTTGGTTACTTATACCTTGTCTAATCTGTTAGTGTGGTGTAAAGAACATGGGCTTTTTAGCTAGAAAGATATGGACTTAATTTTGACACAGTCACCCAGTAGTTGTGGGATAGTTTGAGCCTATCAGTTATCCTCTCTCAGCTTCAGTATTTTTGTTTGTTTGTTTGTTTTATCAACGAAATTGGGATAAAATGACTTACAGTGTCCTGAGGGATTAACTGAAGTGGATGTAAAATGTTTGGCATAGTAGGTGTTTATTAAACATTAGCTATTTCTATTATTGACATTTATTTCAGTTAATGACCTTCCCCCCCCCCCCACCCCGTGGCAGCATATGCCCACACCTCTATCCCTTTCCTACATGGGGCGGGGGGTCATAACTGGTTGACTCGCTTAGAACAATGACCAGTACAGAACCATGAGCACATGATGGCAGCTAATTGCAAAGTTAGAACCGAAAAGGTGAGTGGAAATGAAAAAAAAAGAGGTCTTACACTAGGACTTCTTTGCCTTTGAAATTCTGTCTGCAATGTCAGGTGACACTCCCTTGTCCATTCCCTTATACCAGTGCTGTGAGGGTCACCAGGACATTAGTACAGAACTCAGTACTCAGTTTTCCCTTCTCAATCCAGAAATTGTGCAGTGTTTGACATATCTACAAAAACACAGAGAATCTCAATCCCACTGGGGCAGAGAAAATCTTTGCCACCTGAATCCACCCTTGAATATGAAGATCAATAACACAGACACAGAGAGAGCTCATTCATTTTAATAATTGAGCACAGTTTTGATAGTTCTTCCCAGGGTCCCCCCACCCCCCGTAAACTATTCACACACAACATCTACAAGTATTCAAATTTCATAAATGCAGTGTTGCAAAAGCAAAAGAAATAAGAAAAGCCTTCATAGCCTTGAGATTAAAAACAATGCTTAATCGTTTTCTCACTACCTGTTACTAAATACTAAATGCTAAAAAAGCTGTGCGGGCAGCCGATGGCTGGGGAGAAGGATGGAGAAGGAAGCTCTCATAATGACAACAGCTTTTACACTCATTTTTCATCTCATAACCAGGATAACACAGGGAAGATCTCTCTATTTTGGTAACTCTGTTGGTGTCAAAAATAGAAAACCCTGGGGCTTCCCTGGTGGCGCAGTGGTTGAGAGTCCACCTGCCGATGCAGGGGACACGGGTTCGAGCCCCGGTCCGGGAAGATCCCACATGCCGCGGAGCGGCTGGGCCCGTGAGCCATGGCCGCTGAGCCTGCGCGTCCGGAGCCTGTGCTCCGCAACGGGAGAGGCCACAGCAGTGAGAGGCTCGCGTACCGGGGGGAAAAAAAAAAAGAAAACCCTGGAGAAACATTTTCAGAGCAACAAATGGAGTTGGTTTTACTTACGCCACACAGGTGAGCGAGGGCCCAGATTCTCAGACTCCTTATTAACTCTGGTTCCCCCTCTGGCTCACACTTTGGTGTAAAGAACTGAAGCTATCAACACAGAGCCTGAGTCATAGTAATAACACAATAAAAGTTTGTTGAATGAATGAACTGATACCTGGGGTGCAGTGTGAACAGGCTGGACCTAAGTTTCTCTTTGCAGAAACAGTCTTGGGACATTGTGGGGAGGTGACATTCTCAAAGCAAGCCTGACTTGTCAGGACCGACCCTCAGTGCCCGGGGCATCCTGGGAACCCAAAGGAACAACTGAGTTCTTACTAGTTCAGCCCAGTCCCCTGAATATGCCCACTCAGCATCAAATTCATGGCCAGAATTTCAGATTCAATACCATATGTTATCAAAATAAAATGAATATGTGTGTACCTCCTGCAATTACATTCAATACGTATAAGACTTTAAGAAATCTGGGGTAGAAAGTGACCCCCTTCACCTACCATTCCCTTTTGCCTTTTTTCGCTTTCTCTCACTCTCCTTCTATTCTCTTCCCCCTTCCCTCCCCTTTCCTCCTAACCCCATCTTCTGCCCTTCCCCCCTACTCCCTTCTCTTTCTTTCTCATGATCAAAGTTGAATACTTCTAAATATCTGTGGCCCCAGAGGATATAACACATAAAGCTGTTTTTAGTTCCCAGAAGTAGGAGCAGTCCTGAGGCGGGAAAAAAACCTTTCTGGCCACATTAACAATGATTTAGAGACTCTCAAACTCACGGATATCCAGAACATTCTACTGGGTATGAATCCAATACCTACACAGTAAGCTAGGGATTTTAGTTTCTGGGATGTAAATTTCATCATGATCATGATGATAGAAAACTAAATTGTTAGTTACACCAGTAAGATCCCTTTCCCATGTGTATTTAAGTAAAACAAAGTGTGGATGCTATTTAAAGCAGATGGGCGTATCAGATACGTATTTGTCACAATTCTTAATTTCAGATTCACAAGTGCTGGCTGGAGGAGACTGTTTCCGGCAATAAATCAGTTTGCATTTCTTTCATAGCATAAGGAGCCGGCCAGAGTTAGGACAGGAGTTCAATTCTCTGCCTCTATCTCCCTTTCCTGCATGTTTCAAATAAAAATGTTTGGACAGGACAACCTACTGGTTACTAACCTTAGCCTGTTCTTTACCTTCAAGAGAATCAGGTTCCTTTGGTCAACAAGAGTCTCAGAAGTGATTTCCTCAGATAATCCTGTTTAAAGCTTTCAATTAGTTCTACCCTGGCATTGTATGGTTTTAAAGGTCCTTTCATTCATTCATTCATTCAGCAAACTTTCATTGAGTATCCACTCTCTGCTGGGGCATACATTAATTCCAGTCAGTCTAATATTCTTTTGTAGGAGGAATCTCTGACCCAGTTAGGCTGCTGCATTGGTAAACTGGAGTGTGCTGTCACCATTAAGTGATGAATCACTCTCAACATATGTTATCTCTTATTTGGAAAATTTCCTTTGATAGGACAATAATGATAACAAAGATGACACAAAAGGGAATATGAAAAGTTACTCCCTGGTTTGCTTCTTCTTTTGGGGAGTATACAAACCTATTTCCAGGCAGCCTGGTATTGCTGAAAGATCACCAAACCTAGAGTCAGATGGTCTAGAGCCAGTCTCAGCTTTAATCTTAGGGAAGCTACTTCACCATTTTGAGCCCCCATTTTTTAATCCTGAGACCTGAGTCTGAGAATCCTTGCCCTACCTTTCTCTGGAATTACTGTGAGGAAACAAAATGAAAAAATGTGTATATAATTGCTCTGAAAACCATAAAGCCCCATACAAATGCAAATTTATGACTTAAACAATCTTTGACATTCCTTTCAGGGCAAATCATCACATTATAGTTTCTCTTTCTCTCTTTTTCTTGAAAGGAGGGAACTTATATTATCAACTGGCATTATTGGGGCATTTGGCGGTACAACCCACATTTATTTCCTCATGGAAGAGACCAGTTAGAAATTTTCCTTATTGAAAATGAAATGCACTCCCCTGGGGCCAGAGTCGGAGTTGGAGATGCACTGTTTATTGAGGGTTTCAGCCAACGCTTCCGGTCCACAGAGGAAAACTCCTATTCTGGTACTTTTGGGAAAGAAAGAAAAAATACAGTTTCAGGCTTTGGGATGGGCTCAATTACAAAGCACATGGGGGGATTTCCTATTGATTTCAGGCCTCAGAGCAGAGTCTCCTCTGCTCCTTTGTCCTTCCGCAAATGACAGAGTTCAGGTTACCATGAGGGAGCGTGGCTCGGCCCTGTTTGCGGGGCTGGGAGGGGCGGGCAGCTGGCTACTTCAAAAGGCAGCTGACTTCTCTGAAAAAATGACATGCAAGCAGGGTTTGCGGAAACTTCTACTACAGGGAAAATGAGGGTGAATTTGTGAGCCTGTGGGCTACTGCCCTTCAGGGCTCTATGTCCCCAAACACTCCAGCATCTTAAAATCAAGGACAAACCCGCTTCAGGAACACCACCTCTGCCAACAGCTTCGTGTGACTTCATCCCTCAACATTTTAGACTTTAAAGCCTTGCTCCTCTAGCTCTGGTTCCGGACCAGTAGCCTCGGTGTCAGCTTTTTAAGAACGCAGATTCTTAAAGTAGGTCAACTGTGTTTTTAAATTGTTATAACTTCACACCTTTTTGAAATCTGCCCTACAAAATCGGTTTGGCTTAAATGTCAAAGCCGTGACAATTTGTTCTTTGATGTGATTGTATTTCCAATTTCTTGTTCACGTAAGATTTCAGTAAAACTCAAAAATCTATTCAAAACCAAGAATGTAGATGCTTTGGCCCTACCCCACATGTACTAAATCAGCGTTTCAAAAAGCTTCCCCAAGTGATTTATATGTTCATCAACGTGTAAGAAGCAATGGCGTAAAGAGTGTATTTATGGTGATTGCTTGAGTTTGTCATGTGTTCTAGATTTTAGAAATGCAGTTTTCAGACTTCTAGCCCGCCACGATACACAGGAGAGCATGGAAGAGTGGAAATGGAGCCTGAAGCCAAGAGACAGGTAAGTAGCACTTCTCCTCTTGAGCTTCATTAGAAGCCTTAGTAAACTAAGGCAAATAAAGGTTGCCTGGAGATGTTCTGAGAAATGTTTGCGACTTCAAAGAAGAAAAGGGAGCATCTGAAAATCTAGAGAACGTAAGAGGATAAGCTTGCGAGACAAGCAAGAACTGTAGTGCTTCCTTTGCATCCTGTCTCTTTCTTAAGCTACTTTCCTTTACCAATCAATCTATTCGAGAAACCAACCAAGCCTCGTTCACTCTAAAGTGTAAATGACTGATAAAGAGTTTCAAGAACAGTCAGTACAGTAGGCAGGAAAAACTTAGAAATACCAAGGAATAGTAGCACAATGAAAACTGACCTAAAACAGTTTCTCAGCCTCAGCACTACTCACATTTTAGGTCAGGGAATCCTTTGTTGTGGGGAGCTGTCTTTTATATTATAGAACATTTAGTTTCATGATGACCAAAGCTTTAGTGAGGGCAGGAAGGACCTGGAATATCTGTCAACTTATGATCTTGGACCCAAAAACTATAAATGAAAGTGGGGACAGTGTCTCCTTAGTAATAAATATAAATCATAGAGAATTAATAGAAGTAGATACACGACTGAAATTTAGGAGGTGAAAGAAAAGAACTGAGTTATGGGCCTAGGTGGGGGGAACAGGGTTCAGAAAGTCTGAGGTGGGGCCTGGGAATCTTTGTTTGGTGTGATTTAAAGACTTCCTCTTAAAGTCAGAGATATCTAGAACCTTTTATGGGTGTGAATATGGTAACCTAGGTATTTTAGTTTCCGCAATACATAAATCTAGCCATGTTTGGAAGCTGTTGCTTTCTGTAGACCATGAGCCTCAAGAACACCTTGGCAAGAGGGAAGAGATATGGGAACATATGTATATGTATAACTGACTCACTTTGTTATACAGCAGAAACTAACACACCATTGTAAAGCAATTATACTCCAATAAAGATGGTTAAAAAAAAAAAAAAGAACACCTTGGCGGGGGAATTCCTTACCTGGGGTGTTGACTCCCAATGGTCTTGAACTCATTATCCCAGTTGGGCCGTCCATACAAGGTCTTTTGTTTCAGGCCTGTGATCACATCTTTCTCCTCGTCATGGTGCACAGCAAAGTGATTGGCCTGCAGGAAAGGACATGAATTCAGACAAAAGAGGCATGCTGTATAAACACACACAGATATACTTACGTATCTCACAAACCAAGCTCTAATTACCGTTCTAACTGTATGTATTTGGGGCAAGGCACCATGCTGGAAGCTAGAAGGTCAACACTGAAGAAACCAGTTCTCAAGTAATTTACAGTCTAGAAAGGGAGACCATAGAGGAGGCACAAACATCTCCATGAGGACAAAGAAGGGAGCACGGGTGGGAGGATATGGGAAGGTTTCAGGGTGGCCACATTTGCGCCAGACTTTGAAGTGTGGGTAGGATTTAAATTCTCTATCTCACTGTTTTTCTCTCTGCAGTACGTCTGACAGTCTCTTCTCACCCTAATATACTCCCGCTCCTTTGGGAGAATCACTAAGAATTAAGACAACCATAGACTAAAATGTATTCATATTTTGGTAATGTAATGAGACATCAAACCAAGCCTAAAGCTACTCTGTGTGTGTGTGTGTGTGTGTATGTGTGTGTGTGTGTGTGTGTGTGTGCAGTCATGTGTTGTTTCCTGTGACCATTCTAGGGGGCCTCAGTTTGAACAACAGGTATTTTTTAAAAATAAAAATGGTTAATTACATTTATTTAACAATCAAATCAGATTTTAAATTCACTGGACAGGGAATGGATGATGGGGATGGAAGAGGTTAAGAAGGGTAGTTACCCCGGTTTGATAATCCTGTAGGGACAAAGTTTTGCAAAGCAAAATAACTATTTTTCAATGCAAAGAGATTTCCCACTTAAAAAACTGTGTCTGGCTTATGAAAAAACAAAACTGCAAAGCAATTTATATATTATACATTTTTTCCCCTGGGTTTCATTTTTATCAAATTTTGTTGTTGTTGTTTCATTTTTAAATTGCAGAAGTGGCATCTTAAAAGCACTTTTTCTGGAGCAGCAATTTTCATGGTCATGTGTCCCTGGACCTACGTTTGCAACAAGCCTTTCCTAAGACTTGGAGAACCTATGATAAGCGATATGCCAAAACCTAAATGAGAAGAAGTCGGTTTTCGCAGGGACCAGGTGCCTGTGAAAACTGTCTTAGCTGAGGACCCATTGTGTGGGGATGGCCATCTGAGGCAGTGGCCAGGAGTGGGCAGAGACCCTTGCCTTACCCCCTCACTCAGGGGGACAGTCATGCTGCTTCCAGGCCAAGTCATTAATGTTTGCTTATTTAGAAAGATGTTACCCCCTAGGAATCATTAATTTGTTTCTGAGTTTCTCAGTCTCATCACTTTGGACATTTGGGGCCAGATAATTCTTTGTTGTGGGGGGCTGTCTTGTGAATTGTGACTATCTTATCAATAATTGTAATTAACTGTAATTGTCTTCTCAATCGAAAATTCACATTTCCATTGCTAAATGTCTCAGGAGGGAGAAAGCATATATACCTATATACATATACACATACTACACACACATATATACATATACACATACACACACACCCATATATATATATATACATATATATCACCTTCATTAGATATATATTGATTTATTTACAAATGATAATCATGAACTACTGGGAGTACTAAGAGTGCAGGTTCTGGAGCATTTATTACTTGGATGCCCTTGGACAAATGACCTAACCTGTTCTGGGCCTTGGCTTCCCCATCTGTAAAATCTGGAAAAGAATAATAGCTACTTCATAAGGTTGTTGTGAGGATTTAATTAGACAATCTATGTAAACACTAAGAACAATACTTGGCACAAGCATATGCTTAATAACTATTGCCAGTTATTATGACTCCTTATTAAATGTATTATGTATAGTATAAAACATGCATAAACATAAATTAAAGGAATATATACACATATATATGCATATGTATACATATATATGTATATGCATGTGTATATATAAATACAGACAGAGAGAGAGAGAGAGAGAGAGAGAACGAGAAAGAGCTGATCTTTTCTCTATTTTCTTCCCATAACCCCGTAGATCATCTTGTCCACCTGGTTCGATACCCCTGGTGGAGGCATTGCTCTAACAAGGTCAAAGTCATGGCTTTGATTCCCTTGTAGGCTCCCTAGCTTTGACCCGTCCCACAGATACCAACTTTGAATCTAATATCAACCGTCTGAACAAATGGGGATACTGAGTCAGAGTGAATGTGCTGGATCACCCGAACCCATCGACTGTTCTTAAAAACAGTACACAAGACATTCCAATAACCAAGGGGAAGTCGGTAAGCCCTGGGCACTGTGGGAGGGACCTGAGATTGGGGATCTTTTCCTCACCTGAGACTCATCCCAGCCGGTGAGGTAGATGTTGTAGCTGAGGAAGCCGGCGTTGTCCTTCTCCTGCATCTGGGTCTCCAGCAGCTGCAGCAGGTCTGCAAACCACTCAAAGGCATGTGTGTCCCGGCACAGCCAGTAGAAGTAGATCTGAGAGGGGGACAGACCGTGAAGCAGATTATGTTTCTTTTTTTATTTTTATCTTTTTTTGAAGGATAGTTGATGTATAATATCATATAAGTTACAGGTGTATAATAGAGTGATTCACAATTTGAAAGGTTATACTCCATTTATAGTTATTATAAAATATTGGCTATATTCCCCATATTGTACATTATGTCCTCGTAGCTTATTTATTTTACACATGGTCGTTTGCACCTCTTAATCCCCTACCCCTGTCTTGCCCCTCCCCACTTCCCTCTCCCCACTGGTAACCACTAGTTCTTTCTCTGTATCTGTGAGTCAAGCAGATTATATTTAAATAGGGACCTATCAGCATTGAAATATGGATTTCTACCCTCCCCACCCCCACTTTTCCCTGCTGCTCAGAATGCCTGGAAACATGGGTTTTCAGAAAGCTCTAGATATTTGACAAACTAGCTCACATGAACCTGTTCTGGCCTTCACACGGCAGGGCAGAAAATAAATAGCTTGTTCTCAGAAATCCGTAGCTTAAGAAGAAAACATTGGCCCACAACTTTCCCCCTGGGTCTGCTCTTGCCCTCCTAGGATCCCCGCCTTCCCTTGACCCTCCTCTCAGAAAGACCAATAGGATCTAGACGAGCCATGGCTGCCACCGCACTACTTCCCTACCCGCTACTGGCAGACTTCCCTGAGTTCGTAGGGGAAAAAGTAGTCCTACCCACACCTCCTCCACATCGAAAAGAGGGGAAGCGGAGAATGAAAAGTCAAGGTAAGCTCAACGTGCCTGTTAGAGGTTATCTCTACAGCTATTAGAATGACTCAAGCTTTATTAAAGGTGTCCTTTATTGGGCAATGAAACCAAACTTACATGTAACCAAAACATCCCCCAGGACTTTATTCTGAGGAGACAGCCATAAGAAAGGAAAAAAGTAAAAGTGTCACGAAAAGACATGTCTCCTGCCCTCCCCCTGCAAATAAATGTGCTGGGGGCTGGAAATGGAATCCATGTCAATATCTAACGTAAGATGATAGAAAAATTATTCTATCCTCTCAATGGAACATGAAAGAATCATCAAAAAGCTTGTGACAACACTGAAAAGTACTATATGTTTTAAAAAGAGCAGGACATGAAATTGTACATACTCAATATATACAGCTTTCTAAAAATATGTAAACATGTTGGAAGAGAATTTACAAAAAGTGTAACTATTGGATTGGGGTTGTGGACACTTTCTATTCCCAACTCTCTTCTGACTTTCCAGTAATGCTACACAAATACAGTATATTTGTACTTTCAATAATAGGCTTGCTTATAGAGAACCACATTTATTTATTTGTTTGTTTGTTTATTTTTTTGGCTGTGCCATGCATGGCTTGTGGGATCTTAGTTCCCGGACCAGGGATCAAACCGGCACCCTTGGCAGTGAAAGTGCTGAGTCCTAACCACTGAACCGCCAGGGAATCCCCAGAAGCACCTTTGACTTATCAAACAGCCCTTTTGTGCAAAGCCTGCCTCTCTGAAACTACCTAGAACTTGTCTCCACTTCCGCCAGTCTCTGCCAGCCTCTGCCCTGAAGGCTCTTTGAGGCTTCACTTGGCAGACTGTGGTGAATGCTCCAAGCCCTCTGAAAAAGAAAAGAACCTACCTTTTTGAGCCTCAGATTGGGGGCTTTATTGCAATACTTGTACCAGATCGACTTGAGAATGGATGCAAAGGGCGTGACCCCGATCCCTGCTCCCACCAACATCACCACCTCATAACTGAACACATCTTCACTGGCAGTGCCGAAGGGCCCGTCAACAGCTATCCTGGAGGGAAGCATGGGGGAGATAGTTACACGGACACCTTGCTCTTCAGAGGAGGATGGGGCACACATTATCACTGCAGGTGTGCGACACGTCACTTCAAACTGGGACAATGTATTGATGTGACACTTTGTTCTGTGAGATAGCTTTCAAGTCACCAACTCGGTGTGAACATCGGGGTTGGAAGTAAGAAGAGGAATTTTTAGCTAACTGAAAACATTTGGTAACTCTCAGGGGTATTTTTTTCATGTCCCCAACCCCGTTCACTCACTACGCACGCGCGCGCGCACACACACACACACACACACACACACACAAATGTCTGTGTCTCTTGCCAGGTGAGCCCACACTTGAAATTCCTGCTTACACTGTACATTAAAGTGAGAATTTTCCATGTCATGATATCTTATAAATTTAATATCTCTACTTTTTGTTGGTCTATTCATTGAGTTATTTGACATACTTTTCTTCAGCATCTACTAAGTGCCTGACACCATGTTAGGCGTGTGGGAAGAAAGAGGCCAAGTGAGTAACATCTGGCATTTACCCTCAAATAACGTACACCAATGAAATTTTAAGTATAGCTTTGATTGCAAGTTAATATACCTTGGTCTTGACCCTTACAAATTTATAGGCACTGGGGAATATCCATGATTAATATTTGATTCAAACATTTTATATTTCATATAAGATTTATACATATATGCATAAGCACAGCATACGTATAAAACGGGGAACACCGAGATAGCTCCCTATAGAATCCGTATGTTTCGTCAGACTCAGGAGCTAGTAGAGTGACATTTTTCCTGAACTGATGCACCTTTGTAATAGGCGCTTTGTACTCACTTCGGTAGTTTCCAGGCATCTTGAAACTCCTGCTTATCACAGCCACAAGCTTTGAACAGTCCCTCCGTCCAGTCCCCCACGATGCGGATATGGATGCTAAAGAAGTCTTCCTCGGGGGCAGAGGTCAGGGTGAAAGGGTGCCACTCCAGCCTGGACACCACAGGGCACTTGACGAAAATGTATTGGCCCACCTCCATCTTGAATCCTTTTTTCTTCATCTGTAGCTCGATGGTTTTGAAAGGGTGAGTGACCACCTATGGAACAAAATGTGTCTCTGGAAATGAACCTTTCCCCCAGTACTTGCCTTTTCAGTATCCGTATGGATAAAAGGCTGAGCTAAGATGCCCCACACAGGTCCCTTCTTCAGGGCCAACACAGCAGTTCTTCCAGCAAACCTGCCTCTCACTGGCAACTGCCCTCGGCTGTCGCCCATGGCCAACAGTGAGCTGGGGCAGGGATCCAAAGGCCTGGCCCTTGTCCTCACTTTGGGACAACTCCCAGGGGCCATCGCAGCTGCAGCACTTCCTGTAGGATCAGCTGAGGCTGCAGTTGCAACCACTTCGGGCCAGCAATTTCCTTCCCCCAATCCTGCCTTTCTTTTCTTTTACAGGTTCATCTCCTGAGAACATGCCCCGATAAGACTTCTGCATGCAGTTCTCTGTCTCAGAATCTTTGCCAGGGAATCCAACCTAAGACACCAGCTTAATGTGATTTTCTTTTTCTCTAAGAAGACAAGGCAGTTGCTAGAAACAGGAAGAAGAGATGGTTTCCTGCTCAGCCTTCCTATCTCCCCAAGGGATGATCAAGAGCCTTAGCAGCCGGACAGAAGCAGAAGGAGACCCCATTGGCTAATAATATAGCAACATCGCCCAAACCAAGCCTAAGGTGCTGGTCTGTCTTTGTCCCAAGTCCCACCTTGAACCTGCCTGACTCCATGCATTGTTTTTACATTTCTCCCTACCTGGGGAATACACCATCCATCTCTCCCAAAGCCAGGCCCCACCCGCCTGTTGCCATCCTCCTTCTCCGTGTACCTGAATGTTCATAACAGCTTTGTGTACAATAGCCAAAAAATTGGAAGCACTCCAAATGTCCATCAACTGGTAAGTTGGTAAATAACAAAATGACTTCATTGTAATATACAAAGTAATATGTTTCTTTGATGATTCCTGAGATCCTAGAGGGACTTTATATGTGCAACTGAAAACAAACCAAGGGACATCAAAGGAAAGAAAAATCAATAGAAACAAAATAGCAGATTCCTAATGTTGACTGATATACACGAGCTTTTCTTTTCACCCGTGAGGAGTAGGACAATAGGAAATCCTTTTAAGAAAAATTGCCAAGCATTTCCAAAACTTGTGATTCAAATTTAAGTTATATGACAAGGCTGTAACCAACTTCCCTTCATCACTGAAATAAGGAGGTGTAGAGCTTCATTTTGAAACAGAAAATAAAAATGGATGAAAATGAGTTTGAAAATTATGTTGCTCATGTTGCAATTTTGTGTGGTGAGAATGAGTTCCACCATATTGCAATTTTGCTACCACAGGGAACATCGGGATAGAAGGGAATAAAATGCACTAGTGGACAGCGTTGTCACCAGAATACTTTTGGATAGTACCTTGTTTCTTATGTGTGTTTACATGAGAAGAAAATGAATACTTATTTTCTTCACAGGCAAACAAGTTTGCCTTAGAAATAGGCTTAGAGGAAATACTTGTCTGGTTAGTTCATTCTAGTCTAGTAAGGGAAATTTTGTGGTGGTTCTTTTTGCTGATCTGTGGGCTTTTTCTCATAGTACAATATAAATATCATAAAAGGAGAACTGTTGTGGCTTCCTATATTTCAAGGTTTCCAATGTCAGCTGGACTAACTTTACTATGACCTTCCATAGATGCCAAGAAAGAAGAGCTAGGGTGGTGGAGTGGAAGATTTTTTGTGTTTTGCAAAAGCAACCCATGGTAAGCTTTTGGTAAATACTTTCTGAACTGAACTGAATTAAATTTTATTTGATAAAAATAGTCCTGTCTGATGTTTCCTGAAACTATAATAAGGCAATTCCGTTTCTATTTATTTAGTTGGATATTTATTTATTTAATGATAAGAAGCAGCATAGACGTGTGGGGAAAAACCACTATATACTTGAAGTTAGCGGATTCAATTCTAAATGCAGTTTAGTTATTAGCTCATTTGAGACTTTGAGTACATTAACTCTGATACTCTGTGACTGTATACAAAGCACAGAGACCCGCCCTTGTTTCCCTGGTTCTTTTGGCATCTGAATATTTTAAGGCTCAGTGCATGACCTTTTGAACTCACCTCTTTTGCTTCTTTACTCTTTTTTTTTTTTTTTTTTTTGCGGTACGCGGGCCTCCGCGGCGTGTGGGATCCTCCCGGACCGGGGCACGAACCCGCGTCCCCTGCATCGTCAGGCGGACCCTCAACCACTGTGCCACCAGGGAAGCCCTGCTTCTTTACTCTTAACTAATCACATCGTCTCTCTATGCTCCTCCCCTCTACATACACACACACACACACACACACACACACACACAGGGATTCATTTACACAAAACATTTGGGTTCACTTTTCAACAGAAAATGTTAACTTCTAGTCTCCCCAATTAAAAGGCCCAATCGGCTTCCCTGGTGGCGCAGTGGTTGAGAGTCCTCCTGCTGATGCAGGGGACACGGCTTCGTGCCCCAGTCCGGGAGGATCCCACATGCCGCGGAGTGGCTGGGCCCGTGGGCCATGGCCGCTGGGCCTGCGCATCCGGAGCCTGTGCTCCGCAACGGGAGAGGCCGCGACGGTGAGAGGCCCGCGTACCGCAAAAAAAAAAAAAAAAAAAGGCCCAATCATTTGATTATCAAGCTAGGTACATTGAAACAAACTGTAGGTCATCTCTCTGCCCTAAGTTTAATCAAAATAAACTGAGTAAAAGTGAGATCTGACAATGATATAGAGAACTTGGATAGACTTGTCCATTATATAGTTAGATAGTATTAGTAATTCCTAACCCAGCCAATACCTTGGTGATGACCACCTTCTGTTGAGATCGCCAAAACCGTACCAACCTCTCACAGAGATACAGGAACATGGGACCCACTATCCATTTCCAAGTCTGTAATCAGAGCAAACAATGAAAAAAGGATGTGTTAAGGGGTGGTAGTTGATAAAAGATTCATGGGGACAAAACATTTTAGAAGTTCACCTTTTTTGGTTTGTTTAAATATTCCATGATAGACTAGTAAATTTCTTCTAAAATATCTAAAGTTAAAATAAATTTTTTAGCCAGTAAAAATGAACATTCTCCTTGCCCACATTGGGGAACTATATCTACAGTATGGAACTTTCCCAAGAGGAACTGCCCACAAGAATGGGATTTCCTCCTATTGTCGCAATAGGAGTTGCAATAACCCTACAGCAGAGTAAGGTTGGTTTCAGAATTAACATTTCTCTAAAGGATAGCATTTCAACAACATCATATTTTTAATGCAACGTTGCAATTACTTTCTCTTGGTCACGTAGCCAAAGCTTCATTCTTTGCAACATGAGAAATTCCACACTAGAATTTAGCTCTTCCTCCAATATCCTGGCAAGTTCTAGGAGCTATGCAATGTACTTTCTCTAGGGTGCTCTCTTGTCAGAATCTGCAGTGTTTCAGAACACTGGAATTACCCCGTGGCACTACTGGCTATACAAAAACATTTAGGCCAAACAGATCCATCCTGGGATTCAGTCAGTTAGGTTCCTAGATGAGTATCTGAAGTAGCAAAGAATTTTAGAAGTCGATATCATCTAAAATACAACATTCCAGAAGGGATTCCAAGAGGGAAAAAAAATCCCAGAGTGCTTCCCACAGTCTCGCCTATGATCTTTCTATGAAAAATTTTAAGAAAGTTATTGTTGGAAGTTGAGAGCACCCAAATGTCCCTATCTCCAGCCTAAGTTGAAGAATATCTGCCCGGAAGTCATAAATGCTCTGCTACTGGCCTTCATTTTCATGGGACAGTTTTTTCAAACGGTCTAGCATCATCCATCTATGTCCTGGCTGCCACCTGGGGCCCCATTGAATGGAGCCAGGTCTTGGACATCACTTCTAATCTCCCCAGAAACCCAGGAGCTCCTCTGAGGTAGATGCCTGTGAAGGTAGCAGCGCTCTGACTTAGCTGTCTTCAAGGAAATGTGCCTTCCCCAGCTCATAAGAGGACCTGCAATAGAGTTCCCTTTTAATCCTTTCTATTGATGTCTGCATGTAGTGGGGGTAGTTCACTGATGTGTCTGCTTGCTTTCATTAATGAGCAAGGATGCTGAAAGATGTTGAGTCTGCAGACAGCATGCTGTTTCTAGAGGAAGAGTACTCCTATATTATGAGAGTCAGAAAAAAGGAAGGAGAAAATGGGATGGGAAATTTGCCTTTATATTATACTGTGCTTAAGGACAAAATAATCATCCTGTTCAGAAGCCCTGTACAAAAGTTGATTTTTGCTTAGTTTTATACCAATGGCTAGCATAATAACCAATAAAGTATATTGCTTGCCAATGGGGGAAAAGGTATGAAGATCACATCGTCCACTGCTCACTCATGGAACGGAGATATTGAGAATAAACAAAACGGAGTTCTTCAGAGCTCCCAACAAAAGGTAAATATTTCAGCATCTTTTCCCTTGGTCATCCTTGCCACACTCCTGCTCTACCATGAAGTGCCGATGGCATGACCCTGGCTCTGCAGCCTCCTTTATGCCTCATAGACGGGACCTCCTGATACCTAATGGCAGCCCTATGTGCCACCTCACAAATTTCCTTCCCAGCTCTGAAAGCTGTATAGAAAGTCCTACTTCCTGGAATCTGAAGAGGCTCCTGCCTCCTTATAAATCGTAATCTGAGCTTTCCAACTCGGCTCAGGATGGAATCCCTCTGAAAGTCATTAACTGGTATTATTGTGGCCATCACAACCAGAAGAGAAGAGGTAGAACTTCTTGAACCCAAAAGCACTTTAAAAAACAATACTTTTCCAAGTTTTATATCAGGATGTTCATAACAGACTAATGTAAAGCTTACTTTTCAAGAACTAATTCTAGACAATAAGCATAGCAGAAAAACACTGGATACTTATAACATCCTAGCAGTTCCGTGACATTCATAACGGACAACTCTATGACATTTGTATCTCTTTCTTAGACACAGTTTGAAGATTGTTGGTAATGAAACTATAATAGCTACAATGAATTGTACATACCATAGGAGGGTTCCCAGAGAACTCTGGGATTGGGCAGTCCTTTATTTTTCCCCATTGTGAGATGTTTTGATAACATTCTCTTGGCTTGTGTTTCAACAAACTCTCTGCGGTCTGCCCACGTACAATTCGCCTGAGGAGGAAATGTAAGTCCAGACCATTTAGAAACAAGAGATTAAATTCTTAGTTTTCTGAGATACTGACATATTTTTATTAGTATTCTCATATGGTTCCTATACTTTTCACTTAAAAGTAATACTTCTTGCCCCCTCCAAATAGATTAGAGGAAGGGAAAGAAAATTCATGATCTTTAGCAATAGAAAAAAAAAATGGGGACTTCCCTGGCGATCCAGTGGTTAAGATTCCACGCTTCCACTGCAGGGGTTGTGGGTTCGATCCCTGGTCGGGGAACTGAGATCCCACATCCCACATGCCCTGCAATGTAGCCAAAAAAAAAAAAGAAAAAGAAAAAAAATATGTACAGTGGCACAAAGGATATTTATATGTAACATTATAGAGGGTAAGTTTTGGATCATCAGTACATGTTTTCTGAAAGGCAACATTTGTGCTTCTGTTTCAAGTATTATTCTCATTTATAAACAAACAAATAAAAAGAGAAAAACTGCAAATCCAACAGAGCAACCGCTGGCCCATACGGTACCATTGTGCAAATTAGAACAAGATGCCCCCTCTTTGAGGACAGCTCTAGAGGCAAGAGCTTGGCCAGCAGAGCATGGGCTAATTTCTTTCCCCTTGGCCAGGCACCCTTATGTAGTTGACAACCCATACAACCATATACAGTAGCCCTGAGGCTTAGTACAAATCTTTTATTTGTTGTTTCAAAATTGTCTAAATTCAACCAAAACGTTGAAATCCACTCAAGACGACTTAATTTTGTAGAGATTATGCCACTCTCACAGACATCAATGCTGCTGGTGTGTCCCTTGAAGTGCTCGGAGCCCATTCACTTCAATTCAATAAATATTAATTGAGCAACTACTAAAACATAAGACAATGCAGGTTGAGTGGGAACAGAGGGAGGGAGGCACAAAGTTAAGTCATGTCCCTGACCTGAAGGAACATAAATGACAAGGTCTTCAGAATATATAATAAGAAGAGACACAGAAGGCCCTTTGCTTGGGGGACCTAAAAGTTTGTTTGGGGGACCTAAAATTTATTATGCCAGTTGGTATATTCAGAGGATGTTTTAATTCAAGGTCATTAACCATCGCTTTCTATCCCTAGGTCTTGGGGAAGAGAATTACCATGTATTGAGCATCTATCACATGCCAAGCCTGGGAAAGCCACTGTACACAAATTATTTCAGGTAATTCTCATAACAGGCCTGAAATGTAAGTATTAGTACTCTCATTTTATGTATGAGGACACCAAGGCTTAGAGAGCCCAGGTAACTAGAAGCAGAATGATTTGGTGAAAGCAATTCTGGACCCAAGCCAGACAGCCTTGGTTTCACATCCCGCGTCCACCCCTTGCTAATTTGGTGGCCTTAGGCAAGTTATTTAACTTCTTTTGAGCCTCAGTTTCTTCAGCTATAAGATAGGTATAAGTGCCTCATTAAAAGTTCGTTTTAGTAATCAACTGGCATGATGCATATAAAACGCCAGACACAAAGTCAGCGTCCAACAAATGATAACTATTAAAGTTCTTAATGTTCAAGTTTACTTGGGGAGTAAGTGATAGGAAAAAAATCGGATTTTCTCCTTCTCTTCTCAATGCCAGGACCGGAAGTCAGTTTTAATCCCAGTTCAGCTGCTACCTAGCCAGGAGACCGAGCAACCAGCCCACCAGCATAAGTAGCAGATTCTCCTCAGATGGAGAACGGGGTACATATATCTCCTCTGCCGGCTCCAGAGGAAAATACATATCTATGAAACTATACAAACGTAAAGTGGTGGAATTACTAAGCTAGAGAGGGGAAGAAATTCAGTTTTGTTTTTTTTTCTCTAGGATTTTCTGAAACAGCTGGATGATGACCGAGTCCCATTTAAAGATACTCAAATGCTTTTAGGAGAGTTAAGAGAGTCTTTGTCTACACAGATTTTTCAGTGCTTAGAAAGAGATGACCAGGCGTCAGGGTCAGCAAGTTGATCAAGAATGCACTTGAGGACAGGGAACAATATTCAGTATCCTGTACTAACCTATAATGGAAAAGAATATGAAAAAGAATGGATATGTATAACTGAGTCACTTTGCTGTACACCTGAAACTAACATAACATTGTACATCAACTATACTTCAATAAAATAAATTTAAAAAAAGAATGCACATGAGGGGTTGCCACAGGCTGCTTCTCTCCACTCTTCCCCTTTTTAGGTCTCAGCCACTTCTAGGCTGACTTGACTCAGACCAGAGTCATTGAGCCTTGACACCTACTTCCTCCACCCTTAGTTATCTGGAGCCCCATACCCACCGGGGAACTTCCCAGGTCTGCTTTTTGCGTGCAGGTGGGAGAATCAGCTAGTGTGAAAGAGTAGAAAAAGGAAGCCTGGTATGAAAGAAGGGTCCCAATAAGGCAAACTCTCCCAGCCACACATCCAGGCACCGTGTGTCTCTATGAGAGCATTCATCATGGCCTGCCTTAGCCCATCCGGTCTCCAACCCCAGCTATGCCACGGATAAACTGGTAGTGGCTTGGCTACACACTTTACCTTTTTTGGTCTGTTTCCTTGTCTACAATTTCCCCTGGAAATGGGGATAGTAAGGGCATCTCTACCTTTTGGAGATTAAAAGAAACATTTCATGTCTGTAACAAATGCTCAGTAGAAGCTAGCTTTCCCCATTATTATGTTAGGATGCTTGAAGGCAATAACCGTGTATTTCTCCTTCTAGTATTCCCCACAGTGCCTGAGATAGGTCCTCATACACAGTAGGCAATCAGTGAATGATTGGCTTGAATCAAAACTCATTGAACGGGGACTTCCCTGGAGGCTCAGTGGATAAGAATCTGCCTGCCAATTCAGGGGACACGGGTTCGAGCCCTGGTCCAGGAAGATCCCACATGCCGTGGAGCAACTAAGTCCGTGTACCACAACTACTGAGCTTGCGCTCTAGAGCCCGCGAGCCACAACTACTGAAGCCCTGAGCCCTACAGCCCGTGCTACACAACGAGAGAAGCCACCGACTGCAATGAGAAGCCCGCACACTGCAAGGAAGAGTCGCTCCCGCTCGCCACAACTAGAGAAAGCCCACGTGCAGCAACGAAGACCCAACATAGCCAAAAATAAATAAAATTAAACAAACAAAAAAACTCATTGAATGACAGCAAACCTTTCACCTGATTAATCATTAACCTCTCTGGTTTGGGAGCTTGTCTAATTTTCTAGGGATTAAGCCACAGGAAACATCATTGGAGACATCCAAGACCCTGCCAGCACTCTCAGCGTGCTTTCTATATGCTTGCAAAGATATTCAAAACTTTGGTGTATTTTTCCAGCTTGCTATAAATAACCGCACTATGAATAGTTATGAGTCGGGTACCAGAAACTAAAGTGGTGCTGAGTGGTTTCTATCAAAGTGACTTCTGTTTTCCCCTCATATTCCCTCAGCAGACAGGCTAAGGTCACACAAAGACAGGGAGGTCACTGTGCCTCTAACAGAGCATCACATCTGGAAACTGAGGGACATAAAATACTTGGTCTTGGAGTTTAAATACTCACTCAGCTCCATGGATGGCGAGACCAATGAAGAAGATCACAAAGAGATGGTGTGTGTACCAAAACACTTCAAAGTAAGACCTCCTGATGGTTTTGGTGGAGGAGGTGATAATTAATATGAGGCAGAGTGTGATGACAACTCCAGTGATGCCTGCCAACCGAGTCACAGCCACGTACAGGCCTCCTTCAGGATTCTGTAAAACACACACACACACATTATTTGTAGGCTCTCAAAAGCAGGGCTACCTATTTATAAAGTGTCCAGTGAATAAGGCAATAGGCATTTTCATCCCCCCTTTAGATTAGCCTAACCATCCCCCCAACAGAGTGGTATAGAATTGGAATAGATATTTCCAAATTTAAAAAAGTCTTACATCTTCTTTACCCATTCATCCGATGATGGACACTTAGGTTGTTTCCACCTCCGTATATACAATGGAATATTACTCAGCCATAAAAAGAAACGAAATTGAGCTATTTGTAATGAGGTGGATAGACCTAGAGTCTGTCATACAGAGTGAAGTAAGTCAGAAAGAGAAAGACAAATACCGTATGCTAACACACATATATGGAATCTAAGAAAAAAATAATGTCATGAAGAACCTAGGGGTAAGACAGGAATAAAGACACAAACCTACTAGAAAATGGACTTGAGGATATGGGGAGGGGGAAGGGTAAGCTGTGACAAAGCGAGAGAGAGGCATGCACATATATACACTACAAAATGTAAGGTAGATAGCTAGTGGGAAGCAGCCGCATAGCACAGGGAGATCAGCTCGGTGCTTTGTGACCACCTGGACGGGTGGGATAGGGAGGGTGGGAGGGAGGGGGACACAAGAGGGAAGAGACATGGGAACATGTGTATATGTATAACTGATTCACTTTGTTATAAAGCAGAAACTAACACACCATTGTAAAGCAATTATACTCCAATAAAGATGTTAAAAAAAAAAAGTCTTACATGGTTGAGGTATCATAGGAAATATCAATTGATACACAGAAAGAGTTCTAAGGGAGTATCAAATAAAGTATCAACTATATGTCCTAAAAGGCTCTGAAGCTCTTTCTCCCTTTGATTTGAAAAGTGTCATAGTGCTTAGTTTGTAAATGTATTCTGTGCATGCCTAACATCTTAGGCTGCGTTCCTCCGAAGCAGATCCTGAGATGAGGATTTAGAAAGAATGTGCTCCAGAAGAAGCTGGTAAGGGGATGGTTAATAGGATAGGAAAGAGGAACAAGTCAGGTAAGAGGACAATCTCGGGCCAAATCTTCAGCCTGATGCTGCAGGGGAACTGTGGAGGGTAAATTACACCTTAGAGTTTATCCTGACTCAAGGCAAGGAAGCTGGGTTTTCATGGCCTGCACCCATCAGTTATTGGTTAAGAGCTGCTCAGTGAGATAGCTATCCAGGCCCTTTCAGATATGGGCAAAGGGACTTTGGGCAAAGGGACTCCAGTAGCCCCAGGGCAGTCCTTTGAGGAGCAAAAGCAAATAGAGGAAATTGAAAGTGAAAGCACACAGAAGGGTAGGGGAGCACAGACATAGTAAAAGTGATCTGAAGAGATCTGGGCACAGCACTGCAGTGTCAGCTCACTCGATATGTTCACACTGCCACCCTTACGTATCATTGTACAATGAACAAGTAAAAGAAAAATTATCCGAGACATTATAGAAAAATAATTTCTATTTTATTTGATGTGGTTTAATTCTGTCCCTAAAGAGACCAGGCACACTTTTTTATATCAGCCTGAGGATAATTATTTCTACAAAATCATGGAACTTTTCTTGTAATCTATTCTAAACAGACAAGGAAACATGTTTGGAATTCGGTGTATAGTGAGTGATGTGATTCGGCTATCCTCCCAAACCACTGGGCACATGAAGATGACTTAGAGCTTCTCCCTCTGAGTGTACAAAGCCTCAGCAGCTGCTGGAAGGGAAAAAGTCCTTGCCTGAGGATTCCCCAAATGGCTGCCCCTGGAGCAATTAGCAGACATAGGCCACCTCTCAGATGTTGTAGGCAAGAAAGAGGAAATGCACTGCTGACAGATGTCAGCTGGTGGCTGACCTGGTATTAACACCTCAGCCAGAGGGTTCCCTATTTCACATAAACAATTTCATAGAACACCAACGTCAGACAAGGTCATTCTGTCACTGTGATGGACTGACACAAAAACGAGACCACTCTGAAATCTTATCTGAGCCAAGACAAAAACGTGGGTGACTGCTGCTTCTTGACCTATTACAGATTTAACCCCATTCTTCTGCCTCCTAGAAAAAAAATTATTAAGATACCCAACGCTGGAACTGTCCCCAATTCCTGACCATACCTGATCCAGAGGAAATGCTTGCTTCCTGAAACCCCTCCTGAATCATCTAACACAAGTCCCACAGCAAGCCTTTCTCAACACCCTCCTGAGGTGCCCCCAACTTCCTCATAGTGTGAGGTCTCTTTGCTGCAGTAAGTAATAAACCCAACTTTGTTTGACTAGACTATGTTCCTGGCTTTCTTTGACTGTTGGGCATTGCCATGGATAAGCCTGTGTTACTCCAGGCTCCACGTATACACATTCTGATAGGTGACTTTAAGAAACTGGAGAACATCTAGTGACCCTCTACATATGGGATCAGGAGTGTGGGAGACATTTTCTCTGTGGCCACATTCTTAGAACCTACAGAATTGTCCCTCTGATAGTCAACTTTTGTCATTGTTCTGATCAAGTAGAATTCTTCACTCGCTGAAATCTAATCCTCAGTTTTAATGTCTACAGAACATCTGAATCAGGAAATAAGAGGCTTACCTTAATTCTCTGTCGAGCAAAATTGAGGTAAGTTTCACCAGGCTTATCTCCAATGTCAGAGAGTGCTATTGAATAAGGGTCAGAATTGTTGACTCGGGCATTGACACACCACTCCACATTAAATAGGTGTGCAATGGTGTGAATCGCTGAAGAGGGCACAGAAGAGAAACAAAGAGGGTGAAGTGTGTGTACAATTTTATTTGTAGCTGGGTTTCTGGCTGCAGCCCCTGACTCTACGGTAAGTTAGTGGAGATTTGATAAGGATCCCTTCTTACACCACCACCACCACCTTAATAATTATAATAATAACACAAAATATACATAAACACATGAATACTATCATATATACATATGTATATATATATATAAACAATAATAAAAAGAAAGTGTTTAGCTAATAAAGGCTATCTTAAGAAACTCCCAACTTATGGGCTATGGCCTTTGTAGCATTATTGCAAGAAATCCATGAATTACATGTACAACCAAGTATTTAAAAGATGAATGAATAAAAGCTCTCATATGTGGACTAACAAACAATTTTGATGTTAAAAAGTGTATAAAAGGGTGAATACACTGGGATTTTATCAGAAGAGTCTAAGGGGAAAAAGTTTTAAGACCTGAAGGAATAAATCCTAGTGTTGGGATAGCAGAAAGAGGGGTGAATATTTTTTCATAGAACTCATTCAAAAAGTACACATCCAATCACCACCTAATCTACCTGCAAAGGCTGATCCCTTATTTTAAAAATATCTTAGAGGGAACACTCTGGTTCCAAGTTTCCTTTGCAATCTCAAATATCTTAATGAACATACCAGTGTGAAGTGCAATCATCCATGCCACCATTTTATGAAAGGTGAGGTTCCTGTCCAGTTGTCTTCGAATTCTTGTTGAGCAGCACTTTGGATTAAAGGGGAAAGAATGAAATCGTAATTGTTAACAAGAAAGTTTTCTCTGTGCCAGGCATTAGACACATATCATCTCATTTAATTCTTATGACCACCCTAAAAACTACATCATTCTACCCATTTGACAGATGAGAACACTGAGGCTCAGATAGATGTAGTCATCTTCCCAAGGTCAAACAGCCAATAAGTGGCATGGCTGGCTTAACCAATGTTTTAGGTTCTCGTACTATTAACATAAAAAGCCTCTCATGGAATCCATTGCTTAATTGTATAAAATATGAATTTGGACAGAAAACATCTAACTACATAGTTTCTAGTTCAGATTAATTTATTTAATAACGAGGGGATATAGAAATTTTAAAAGGACAGGGCTGCCCTCAAAGACCTGAAAGTCCATGGGGATACAGACAAGTGAACAGTTCTAGAACAAGTGAATAGTTTTAGAAGAGCACCCTTCCAGGACATAGACACTATGAGAGGAGAAAAAAAGTGTCCACCTGCATATGTTGATAGAGACAACATAACAAGGGAGATCATTAACAAAATAATCATAGCAAAAATTATAATAGTACTTACAAAGAACTTGTGCAAGGAGCTGCTTTAAGTGTTTTTTTTTTATTGTTTTTAAAATTTTTGACCGCACTGTGCAGCACGCAGGATCTTAGTTCCCTGACCAGGGATCGGACCTGCACCCCCTGCAGTGGAAGTGCAGAGTCTTAACCACTGGACCGCCAGGGAAGTCCCTAGGAGTTGCTTTAAGTGTTTTACATGCATCGACTCATTTCATTCTTACATTAATCCTATGTGGGAGGTACCATTATTATCACCACATGACAGATGAGGAAACAAAGGCATAGAGAAGTTACCTTCCCTTAGGTTGCATAGTTAATAAGTGACAGAGCTGAGGTCTAAACCCAGGCTCTCTGATGCCAGAGATATCAACATTCTGATATTTCATACCTTTTATGATTACCTTGGCATTAAAATGGCATTTTGGTCAACTGGTTAGTGTAATTGTCCTACCGACGTATGTTAGAAGATGTGGGTTTGAATCTGGATTCATGTCAATGCCCAAAGTAGAGGAAAAAAACAAAACAAAACCTGGTTTCTGGTTGAATCAGACAGAGCTTTGTTCTCTGAAAAGTGGTCAAGTGCTCGCTCTGGATGCTTTGTTTCCAAGGCTAGATGTACTGCCATAGAGATTCAGAAAACTTCTAAGGAGAACAGAGTGAAGTGCAAAAAACCCCCAAAACAAAACAAAAAGCTCAGGTATTTTAAATACCTGGTTCCAAACATATTCAATGTCAATATACGGGTGTTAAATATTTGGCTTATTTATTTTTAATAAAATGTTCTGGTTTTATAGAAAAAATAGAATTGCATAGAAAATTGTGCTTACTCCACTACCTCTGAATTAGCTACATCTAGGGAGGGCAGGCTGTTTGGATCATGAAAGCAGGTTCCTGCAGAAATACCAGTAAGGAAGACACTGAAGACTTCAGAGAAAGGAAAAAACATTTAGGCTTTATTGAGTGACTTCTGTGAGCCAGGCAGTTTACGCATAATCATTGCCTCATTTAATGTAACCAGATAAGCATTACTGTCCTTATTTTACAGATAACAAAACTAAAGCTAACTCTCACATTGGCTGGGATCCAGGACGATTTGTCTTTAAGGTTCATTCCCTTTTCCATCAAACCAAATGTAAAGATACAGTCACTATTATTCTACATGTCTAAAAACCAAGACAAGAAGTTAAGTGAAAGTACTCTATCTGGAAAGTGAGGTTAGAGGGAGTAAGTTTGGGAAGGGAAGGAAACCAATAAAGGGTGTATTAGCACATCAACTACCACTACCATATCTTATCAGCGGGCTCTCCGATCAGGGAACTCTGGGAGACTGTGTAGGATACGCCCCCAGAGGTTTGTTACCTGAGGGGTTAGGAAACTTGGGTAGTCTCTACCAACTCCTATCCATCATTGGCTGAGGGCTCTTCCCAGGGCATCAACTCCCTGGCATTTCCGGCTTGTCCCAGGAGAGGGCTGAAAGAAAATCCTCAGGCAGAGAATGACCTGAGCTGGCAGAAGACAGCTGCCCCATGTACTGGAACTGACAGTGCAGAGGGAATACGGGTGGAACCCTACCAGCAGCAGCTACAACAACCTGTTCACCGGTGACTCAGGCTCTCAAAATAAGGGTTTCCTGGCTGAAATCACTTCTTTTACACTTCTGTGGGTGAAGAATTGACTGTCCTGTTTTCTTTTATAGCCTCATTGTCTTTTGTGTTTATTTCAAGCACCGTACATTGTTTTACTCCTTTGTAGTTTTTACAGTGTTAAGGAAATATCTTTTTCCTGTTTCCTGATTGCTAGGTTCCTCCACAGCTTCGTAGAGTCCTTGTGGTAGGCAGAATTGTAAGATGTTCCCCAATGACCTTATATAATCTCCTCCCCTTGAGTGCGGGTGAGACCTGACCTATAACTATGATAGGATGACACGCCTGTGATTTCGTTACATTATATGGAAAAAGGGATTTTGCAGAGGTAATTAAAATCCCAAACTGACCTTAAGAGAGAGATGATCTGGGTGGGCCTGACCCAATCACACGAGCCCTTTAAATCTGAGTCTAACAGTCAGAAATCTTAGGTGCAAGAAGTATTTGATACGCTGCTGCTGGCTTGAAGATGGAAGGGGCCACATGGCAAGGAATACACCTCGGATCTGAGAGCAGCCCCAGAGTAACTGTCAGCAAGAGACAGGGACCTTAGTCCTGCAGCTGCCAGGGACTGGATTTTGCCAACAAGAATGAGCTTGGAAGATTTTACCCAGAGTTTGCATATGAGTATTCAGCCCAGTTGACGCCTTGATGTCAGCTTTGTGACACCCTGAGCAAGCAGGATGCTGGACTTCTGCACAGCTGTGAACTAGTAAACGGGAGTTGCTTTAAGCCTCTAAGTTTGTGGAAATTTGTTACACAGAAGTAGATCATTTAATACAGTCCTCATTGGAGTGATAGACGCAATTGGAGTCCCAAGAATGAGAGAATGGGAATTAGTAGGGTCAGAAAGCAATTTGCCATCAGATATATCTGTGCTGGACCCCAGCCCTACCACCTAGCTGTGTGACGTTGAACAATATGCTCAGTTTCCAGCTTTCTCACCTAGATATTTATCATAATTATTCCCTTGTAGGTCTGTTTCATAGATTCATTGAGAGGTATTTAATAAACACTCGCTTTTTTTTTGGTATCATTATTTAACTTTTCAGCTAGTATGGCACGGCTCCCCAGCTAGAGGGTAAGCATCCTGTGTGCAGAGCAATATATCATGTATTTTTAACAATCCTTACATAACTATTTGGTTAAATGACATTTTCACTGTCCTAGAACCCAAGACAATTATTCTAAACCTATAGAGATGTATTTACCCACATATCTATACATGCCAAACGATTTTCTTTTCTACTTCCAGACAAATTGTTTTGAAACTTTTGGGGGAAAAGATACTTGCTCCTGCATGCTGAATTTGAAGAAAAGGAATGTGGTTTCCTCATGGTCTCTACACTGTCTCCATAGTTCTACCCTTATCATCATCAACATGGATCATCAAAAATATGAAACAATAGATTTCAATGTCCCTTATCAGCTTGAGCAACAAACTGTTAGAGAAAAGTTAACTGAGTGCCAGAAAAATGGAGAGATGTGCTTGGGAAACACAAGGTCCATTCAGTAATAGTCTGATCTTAATAGGTGGGTTAAAAAAATGCTATTTAGTATGAAATACATACATTTTATTAGAAGAAAAAACGGAGACTCTTAGTCACTAATGAGTTAGTAGAACTAACTAAGGTCCTACCAGGGCACCAATCCCTCATTTTTCCAATCCACCCTCTATAGTGTGGTCAGGAATGGCAAACACATCCAAAGAGAAGCCGTAAGCCATGATTATACGGGGCTTCCAGATATAATTTCCTGACAAGGTGGCAAGATGGCTGGGTGGGGTAGAAAGGAGGGCTTTGCTGCCTGTGACTGCCCAGGGCTTTTTTCTCCCTCCCTACCATGCAGAAACCATTTTTATGCTTTTGAGTCACTTGTGAATTACCGCCAGCCACCTACCAATTACCCAAGCTGCCATCATGCACAACAGCTTCCTCACCGAACAACTGCTCTTCTTTTTGCCATTGACTTCTAAAGGGAAGTTCCTCTGTTACTGTCAACTAGAGCCTTGCCCAATCTCAATAAGCTAACATTCAAGTGCAAGGGAGATTATTGAGTTATCTCGGCAGCTTGCTATGCTCGATTCAAACTGTGAGAGCAAAAAAATTCAAAGCATTGAGAAATGGAACAAAGAAGCGCATATTTAATGGGGCAAAACATTAGCTTCTGTAACATGAGTGTTATGGAAACTTTAAAGTTCTATTTTATGTACACCTGGTCTCGCCACAGGTGCCATGAATGAATCTGAATTAGATATTTATGTGCAGTTTGAGAGAAATTGCAAAAGCCAGCCTTGAATCTACAGAACTCAGGCAAAGAAACTGACAGTAATGTTGAAACCTGGTGGCAGTAGAATATGTGATAAATACGAAGAACACCACCGTATTTGTACAGCACTGCCTATAATTTTGAAATTACATGTTTATCTTCTATCTCTTCCATAAAACTCTAAGCTCCCTGAGCTCATGGCTCATCCATGTCTTACTCTCTACTCACTCTACGTCCGCTGTGCTTAGCATATAGTTGGCACTCAACAAATATTTGTTAACTGACAACTCATTAGTTGACAGGCTTAGTCCATTAACACACTTTTAGAATATCATTCATATTCATTCTTACACTTGCATTATCTCACCTGCTTTTTAGCTAAAAACAACAACAAAAAGAAAAACAACAACTATGAGACAGGAAGTCCAAGAGCCTTGCCCTGGACCACATGGTCAGATATAGAGCTATATCAAGGGCCTCTGACCCCCAGGCTATATAAGGTTAGAGAAAAGAGCTCACTCTCTTGCCTTCCTGTTTCTTTCTGATCTTCAGACTAGAACTTCCATCCAAGTTGAGGTTACTAAGGCTTCTTTGGGGACTTCTGTATGCTGAGTCCCACCATTCCCCATTTCCCTCGACAGAGCAGGCTCAGAGTCTTTACCCCTAGTTTTCCTGGGGTGGGCCAACCCTGTGGTTTTCTTTCTTTCTCCAGTTCTGTGACTGTTAAGTTTGCATAAAGGCCTACTAATAAATCCTTGAAGTTACAACACCCCTGTCACTTCTAGCCTAGGTTATTCAGCCTGCCCAAATATTCATATATACATGATGGCCTTTCTAAGACCGTAGGACCACCACAAGAGAGTTTTTTTTGTTTTTTGTTTTTTGTTGTTTTTGCGGTACGCGGGCCTCTCACTGTTGTGGCCTCTCCCGTTGCGGAGCACAGGCTCTGGACGCGCAGGCTCAGCGGCCATGGCTCACGGGCCCAGCCACAAGAGAGTTTTGAGTTTAGGTGGCATGTAGGAAAGTGAAGAGGCTCTGGAGGCACAAGCACCTGGGCTGGAATCCCAACACTCCCAATGAATTTCATCCCCACCTCACTGGTCTGACATGCAGATTTCACGAGGTGAGGTCCAGGAAGACTCAATAAGTGGCAGGTGTTATAATTTCCAACATTAGTCACAGCATGTGTACTCATTTTAATCCCAATCAGAATAGAAGGTTCTTTGCCCAGTTAACATTTCAGATTGGGAAATCTGGAGGAGGGACACACCCCATCTGTAAAAGAATCTTACTTGCTGCTAATTTTTAAAAATATTTTCTTTGACATACAGGTCTCTCTGGTTAGAGAGTTGAGTGTCTCTGCAATTTGAAGAGCAGCCTCATTTCACCCTGTCTTTAGAGACTCTCATGAGGATCTTCCCTCCTTTTAGGCCACAGGAAGCCTAAAAGTGGCCATTACAACATGTGCCACTCATGGGGCATGGCCACGCCACGGCATCGCAATTTGGGCCTGTGGGGTAACAAGGATTTCTTAACAGGCTGTCCTGGCGAAAACACTGCCTGTTTCTCAGGGTTTACTTCCTCTAAATAGGAAGTATTTGAACAGGGGGTGGGGGGAGAATAAAAAAGCTACAGTCCCCGAACTTCATTTAGCAAATGTTCATTGGGCACCTGCAATATACCAGATGTTGTACTTTACAGGTGGTTCATCAATAAAACTTTGCAATTACCCTATGATCCAGCAATCCCACTCCTGGGCATATATCCGGACAAAACTCTAATTCAAAAAGATACATGCACCCCAATGTTCATAGCAGCACTATTCACAAGAGCCAAGACATGGAAACAACCTAAATGTCCATCAAAAGATGAATGGATAAAGAAGATGTGGTACATATATACGATGGAATACTACTCAGCCATAAAAAGAATGAAATAATGCCATTTCCAGCAACATGGATGGACCCAGAGATGATCATACTAAGTGAAGTAAGTCAGAAATAAAGACAAATACCATAGGATATAACTTATATGTGGAATCTGAAATATGACACAGCTGAACCTATCTACGAAGCACAAACAGACTCACAGAGAGAACAGACCTGTGGTTGCCAAGGGGGAGCGGTGTGGGGGAGTTTGGGGTTAGTAGATGCAAACTATTACATATACAATGGATGAACAACAAGGTCCTACTGTATAGCACAGGAAACTATATTCAATGTCCTGTGATAAACTGTAATGGAAAAGAATATAAAAAGAATGTATATATATGAATAACTGAGTCAATTTGGTGTACAGCATAAATTAACACAACATTGTAAATCAACTATACTTCAATTTAAAAAAAAGAAAACTTTTCAATCAAATGGAATTCTGCCTCTGTGGTTTCTTAGGTTAAAAAGATGATTTCGGAAATCCTCGTAATCAATGTCTACTGTTAGTTGTAGCCTGCTAACCCTATATTAGTAAATCAAGTATTGTATAGTTCTCAAAGAAAAAGAATCTCCTTAGGATCAATGTGAATTTAGTAAGACTAGAGAAAATGAGGCAGAGCTCAAGGCAAGTTTTGTTATTGGCAGTTTAGATCACTTTCCTTCACCCACTTAGTCTTCGATGACCAGTTAAGTATTAACATCTCAGCTATACATTTAAGGTCCTAGTTTACCAGCAAAGCTCCAGCCTGACCTCAGACACCTACCCTTTAAAATCCCTACACTCCCATCAAAGTAGATTGCTTGCTTCTCTCCACTATAAATGACCTCTACTTAATAGGTAATTTTTTAAAAAGCTAGTTAATATAAAAAGAACATCTTATTAAAAGGAAAAAGAGAGGCTACTAGTCACTAATGGGCAGTGGAATGGGTCCCACTAGGGTATCAGTCCCTAACTTTGGAAGAGCTGCCCTCTATGGTGTGGTCAGGAATGGCAAACACATCCAAAGAGAAGCCACAAGTCATGATCACACAGGACTTTCAAGGATATGATTTCCTCACCATTCCCTGTGCTTTTGCCCATACCGTTTTCTCCATGTAGAATGTCTTTCTCTCTCCTTTATATCTCGTACAGGCTTATTTTATCCTTATATGCCCATATCTGATGCCACCTTCTCTAAGAAGCCTTTTTCCATCCCCTGCGCCACCTGATATAATTTCCCCCTCCTTTGATGGATTCCCTGTGGCTCCTTATTTGTAACATTTTGTGGGACCCATCATATTTTGCTTTGTATCGTATTAATTTGAGTACATGTGCAGATTCCAAGTTCCTCTTTTCTCATCTTTGTATAACAATATCAATAAGAAATTCGTATACCATTTTATAGATTACAAAAGCTCTTCCTACATAATCATTTTTTTCTTCTAGCATAGTATATTAGGGGCTCTCTGGATTGTTGAAGTGAGGGTGAAAGACCCCGGGCATTTAGAAAGCTCTGAACTCCTCAATTCCATGGACATAACACCTGTCACATTCATTACATAGTGACTCATAGCTCATTGATCCCATCTTCTTTGGATATTATCCACAAAAGAGATTTTCTCTGACTTAAAAATTTTGAGAAACATGGCACTGTGAGATTAATTCCCAAATTTCACGTCAGTCTCATAAATCTCTGCTTATATACATATACATATGTCATATGATGTATGTCTGTGTGTACATGCATATGTACTTTATTGCTATTGTTGAGGTATATGTTGATTGGTTGTTGTTTACTTTTTGTTTGTTTGTTTTTAATGTCTGTTCCAGGTTAAATGGCTATCCCAAGGAGCTCCACCAACAAATAATATAAAAATAAACTAGAGAATCAAGCATTGCTTGGCTTGTGAATATTGTACAGAGGTTGGAATCCTCACAAACTCTTGGTTTGCTTTCCCTATTGGTGCAGCCACTATGGAGAACAGTATGGAGCTTCCTCAAAAAACTAAAAATAGAACTACCATATGACCCAGCAATCCCACCACTGGATATATACCCTGAGAAAACCATAATTCAAAAAGAGTCATGTACCACAATGTTCATTGCAGCTCTATTTACAATAGCCAGGACATGGAAGCAACCTACGTGTCCATCAACAGATGAATGGATAAAGAAGATGTGGCACATGTATACAATGGAATATTACTCAGCCATAAAAAGAAACGAAATTGAGTTATCTGTAGTGAGGTGGATGGACCTAGAGTCTGTCATACAGAGTGAAGTAAGTCAGAAAGAGAAAAACAAATACCGTATGCTAACACATATATATGGTATCTTAAAAAAAATGGTCATGAAGAACCTAGGGGCAAGATGGGAATAAAGATGCAGACCTACTAGAGAATGGACTTGAGGACATGGGGAGGGGGAAGGGTAAGCTGGGATGAAGTGAGAGAGTGGCATGGACATATATACACTACCAAACGTAAAGTAGATAGCTAGTGGGAAGCAGCCACATAGCACAGGGAGATCAGCTCGGTGCTTTGTGACCACCTGGACGGGTGGGATAGGGAGGGTGGGAGGGAGACGCAAAAGGGAGGAGATATGGGGATATATGTATATGTATAGCTGATTCACTTTGTTATAAAGCAGAAACTAACACAGCACTGCAAAGCAATTATACTCCAATAAAGATGTTAAAAAAAGGGGGGGGCGGCATTGAGCTTGATGGCCTTCGAAATTCTGAGGAACTCAAACTTTGTAAATGTTGGTTCTTACCGCACTGGAACCCCTGAGGAAAGACAGTAGATTTCGACAGACTGGCAGCAGGATCAGCATGCAGTTGAAATTCAGGCAGGCTGCAGGGGCCCTGGCCAGTGCCAGCGCTGACTGGAAAAGGCAGGATAAGAAGCAGGGTGACTCTTGTGTGCCCAGGACACCGCCCGCCCCACTTGCCTACATCCACTCCCCCAGGCTTCCCAGCATGAGGCCCACACTCCAGAGATATCAAATTATAGGGGCTTCCCTGGTGGTGCAGTGGTTGAGAGTCTGCCTGCCGATGCAGGGGACCTGGGTTCGTGCCCCGGTCCGGGAAGATCCCACATGCCGCAGAGCGGCTGGGCTCGTGAGCCATGGCTGCTGAGCCTGCGCATCCGGAGCCTGTGCTCCGCGACAGGAGAGGCCACAACAGTGAGAGGCCCGCGTACCGCAAAAAAAAAAAAAAAAAAAAAGAGATATCAAGTTATCTGGGAAGGAAGGTCCTTTAGAGCCAGGGCTCTTCTTCATCATAAATGAATAAAATGTTGGGGTGGGGAGCAAGGGCCAGATTAAAATAAATATTATGAATATTTTCAAACATAAAGAGAATTTGAAATAATTTCACAATGAATACCTGTTGATTCATCTCCAAGATTCTACCTTTTACATTTTACAATGGTTGCTTTAGCACATGTCTATTCACTTCTCCATCCATCTACCCATCCCTCTATCCATCCATCAATGCATCTTATTTTTGATGTATTTCCAAGTAAGTTGCAGATATCGGTTTACTTCCTCCTAAATATTTAAGCATGCATATCATTAACTAGAGTTCAGTATAGAAATTAGGTCTTTGTAAAGAAGATTTTCTTAGCACATAGACTAACCTCAACAGTAACTAAGTTCGTATGGTATAATTGTTCTTTGTAATGCCTAAAGAAGTTGCATATTTTGGAGGAGGAAAATGCAAAGGGAAATCATCCTTTTCAGCATCAACCTGAATAAGTTAACAACAATTATAATAATGTAGTGTAATTATATGTTATAATTATTTATGCATATGATGTATAATACATATTATAATTAGTATTATTAAGTAATGGTTTCAGTATGATGTAACAAATGATATCCTCTGGGGGCAGCCGTAATTGTACTTATTTTCTTATTTTCATTTATGATGAAGAAGAGCCCTGTCAGTTCAAGGAAACTGAGAATGTTATTGGACCCAAGAAAAGTCAGGGGCCTTTGCTCTGCCAGTCGAGTCAAAGAACGTGATCTTTAGGCAGGTTCCTCAAAGCCTCCATATGTAGGGAGAGGCTTATTTCCTGAAGAGTATTTCATAACATGTCATTAGGAGCAGGGTTTTTCATGCACAAAAGTTAATAGGAATCGGATGATTTAGAGAATATAGGAAGTCCCACTTGTGCCACCTGTGTCACCCCTGGATCGATCTTTCCAACCTGCCCATCCATTCCGGAGTCAGTATTAGATTTCTCCTTCAAGCTAACAGTAGCACAGTAGTTCTTGGGAGGGGAAGGATGCTGCTGGGACCCTCTGCCACACTTCTGTCTGTCCCACACTGGAAGGCCTAAAGACTCTTGCCCAGGGGGTTGCAATGGAGGGAGTGAGGCCGATGGTGCTCTTTGGGTTGGTCAGAATATTTCTTTAAAATGTTAAAAGGAATAGGAACAAGAATCTCTGATTAGACATGGGAGCCAGTCAATACTGAGGGAGATGGAACTTCTACTTACCCCAAGAAGTTTTCGAGTGTAGAAGAACTTATCTGGAATATCATAAACCCGGTAGTACCAGACAAAGAGGAAGACGTTCATCCCCAGCCATACCAGCTGCACAAACAGAAGTGGTTGCGTGAAGTTGTCATGTTTCAACAGGTAGATTTCACAGCAGTTTAGAGTCAGACCAAGGTCAGGACTTCCCCAAGTACAGCCTTTGATTAAGGTGGTTACAAAACCAGCTCCTTCCTGCAAGAGTACCACTACACTTCTCTGTAAGTAACCTTTCCTCCCTGTGTTGTCCCCCGTGATTGTTATACTACTTGGGCCGTATGCCGAGTTATTATCTATCTCCCCTCCTTTCTTTCTCCTCCTTTTAGATTGATAGATGACAGCAGGTGACTCTTCTTACAAAGAGAAGGGAAAGGAATCTGTTCCTATACTGTCCTCTGCACCAGCAGGACTTTGTGTTTGATTCTCACAGGTGTGATTACCTCTCTCCGCCACACAGCATCCCGCCCCAGCTAGTGGAGGTCTCATCAGCTAAAATGACAAGGCTTTAATTCTACTTGATAAGTTTTGCTTCACTTTTTAATTTTTTTTTTTTTTTTTGCGATACGCGGGCTTCTCACTGTCGTGGCCTCTCCCGTTGTGGAGCACAGGCTCCGGACGCACAGGCTCAGCGGCCATGGCTCACGGGCCCAGCCGCTCTGCGGCATGTGGGATCTTCCCGGACCGGGGCACGAACCCGTGTCCCCTGCATCGGCAGGCGGACTCTCAACCACTGCGCCACCAGGGAAGCCCTGCTTCACTTTTGAAAGAGGGAATATTCAGCATCAATGAGGGAATGAGAGGCATGGGTTTGTTTTTTTTTTTTTAAGGGAGATCCTTCTAGATTGTGACTGCTCATTTCATCCCAAGCACTGATTGCATCAAACGATGACTCTACCCAGTCCTCCACCTTCAGCTCCACAGTAGCAATCTGTTCTTAACTGTGCTTTGAGGCTATCTGATGTCCTACGATGCTTGAGAAGAGTCTCTCTTTATAAAGAAGAAGGTACTAAAACCACTTCTCCATTTCCTAACCTTGTCATTTTTACTCTTGCCTTCCAAGCTGTGGGTTCACTTTCAAGTACATGAGTGTATAATTTAGACAGAGGTCACTTACCTGGGAAAACTGTGGTAAGAGCTAAAAGTGTTTATACTTGAACTTATTTTTTAAAGGAGTAATCTGTTCTTCAAATGGGGATAAGAAATCAACTTAACAGCTTGGAGTCCTCAGAACAATTCTGTATTGCATTAGAGTGTTGATTTGGCTTAATTTTTTTTTAAATGACAAAATATTTGTGATTTTTATTTTATCTGTGCCACTCATTTCTCTCTACCTCTACAGCTCAAAGAGTCATATTTACTTCATGATAAATTCTTTCAAAAAATTCATACATAAGTGTTCTTTTTAACATCTGGGTAATACTTTAGTTGGCTATTTGGAAAAGCTACTTATAAATCACATTTCTATCTTCCCAATTGTCTGTGATTGCTTTGCTGAGACCACCATCTTAAAAAAATAGTTGATCTATGTTATGTTAAAAACTAAAGAAATCATCATGTCTGTTCGAAAACTAGCCATATCTTTACTTACAAAAATTGTTTCTCAAGACAGACTATATTGATTTATATACAGCTAAATATAATATATATCATATATACGCTATATGATATAATATATATCATATATATCATATGTGTCTAGATAGTTTTTTTTCAATTCCCTTCCCTTAAATTTTTAAAAACCTCACAAATAACTAAAGTTTACCTCAGAGAAAAGAAGACACTTTTTTAAAAAAGAAAATTGAGAACTTCAATTATTTTTGGTGTAATTACTGAAATAAAGGCCAATTTCCCACACATGAGCCAGTCTTGCATTTGTTATTTGGAAAACTGTATAAAATTTCAATTGCCCATTTTTAGGTGGTATAAATACATTAAAAGTAGAGAAATTTGCCTCTGAGTAAACAAGGATCATTAGCATGAAATGTCTCCTACTCCCACTGTGAAACGCTGGCTAATTTATTACTCCTAAAAACTCCAGAAATAAACTAGGTGAAGTGAGTCCCCAGATACATTCTTTCCATGAATAAGTTTGGAAGAATGGACTCACTCTGCTTACAGATGGATGCATGTTCACATAATAAATCAGTTTCAACACAATTTCTCAAACAAAACAAACAAAAAAGCTTTGCTCTATTTTCATTTCCAAGAGAACCCAAACAAGTCGGAGAATTTTTCATTTCATTCTCATGGGTACTTACAATGACGAGGATGGACAGGCCCTCATTCACAAACAAGTTCCCCATGGTGGCGGAGGTTCAGTGCCTTGAGCGAGCGCCTTTCTTCTCTGCTATGCTTCTTCCTCCCATGAGGAAATGAAAACAGCAGCCTTGGGGCAATCTGTTTCCTTTTCTATGATCAGAAATTAGCTAATCATTGGTCAACTGAAAAGCTTGTCTCCATAACAAATTTAAATCTTTAACCACAAAAAAATGACAGAAAAAAAGTCTACAATGATCCAATCACAACTAAACATAGTGTGAAATGAAACTAATTTCTACAACTGAGAGGCAAATAACAGTACAATTCATGGTGTTTTACACTGTGAATTAATTTTTGGACTGATCAGTTATCAAGTGTCAATTTTTAAAAAGTCACCCAACTAGTCATGACTTTGGGCTAGGTAAAAAACATTAAATAGATGTGGTATCTTTTGATAGGCTGGCGCAGCATTTAGAGTCTTGTTGAGAAAAATTATAACAGGTGTGATCGCTGATATTTATAGAATGCTTACTTTGTGCCAATTTTCTAAGATATGTATGTGTGCATGTAAATACATGTGTATGTACATATATACATACACATATGTATATATGAGTTGATACATATCTTATGTGTGTGTCTACACACAAAGACACCCATACACACACATACATAAATTCAGTATATAAATAAATTAATTCGATACTAACAATTCAACACTATAAAGTACTTTCTATTATTAGGATTACATTTACAGATGAGGAAACTGAGACCCAGAGCCGTTAAGTTACTTGGCCAAGGTCATGCAGTTAGGAAAACATGCAGTTGGGATTTAAAACCCAAGCAATTTGGCTATACTTTTAGCCACGATACCAGACAAAAAAGCCTGACAGTGGCAACCACATCCCAGATCACTCCTAATACAACCATGGGAAAAGAAAACATAACAAATAGACCAAAATGTTTGAATGACTGTAGTATTCCCAGGCGGACGTGACATTTTTCTAGGCAAGGTAGGTAAACAGGGTCAGAACAAAGGTATGTCAGATGTGGTAGATGCCAAAGGCAGATTTAGCATTTTTTTTTTCTCTGACTCCCATCCAGTCTTTAGGACATGAAAGAGACAGAAGGGTAGGATGGTAACCCCTGATTGCATCAGGGTGGTTGTACAACAGCTAGAGTGAATAGAGAGGTAAAAGAAGAAACTGAAGGAGCGAAAGGGAACAAGAGAAGAAAAAAGAGGAGAGGCCTGAACTCTTTGGGTTATTGTCTATGAAGCACTTGAGACAACCTGCAGAATTATGACCGTGAGTAAAATAATATTGTTTTTCACTTTTTAATATTTAAGGAAAGGTACTCCACTGTGACTTTCTGCATGGCTCTTGAGTCATAGGTAACCCACATAAAAGACAGTCGGTTCCCTGGTTCAGTTACACACAGAGATGAGTTCAAAGACACACAGTTAGACCATCAAGTTATACGCCAGTTATTTGCCTCTCTGCTCTGGGACTTATTCCTCAGCCTTTACTTGCTCTGTTCTGTTTCAGATGAGGAACAGAGGGTGGAGGATAGGGACACCCCCCGCTTTCTGCTTCAAGTGGCATCTTGGAAGTGGCTGCCTTTCCACCGGAAGCTCCGGCTCCCACCGACCAGCCTTCCCCACTGTGGCCTGAGCTCCTACTGGCCGTCACCACCGTAGTTCCAGCTCCTGCCACAGGCCCTGGCTTCTGGGCTTGACTTACACAACCTCCTCCTGCCAGGTTTCGTCCAACCCGGAGGGCGGTCACCACTTCCTGTAGTTGTTAATCTTGATGTTGCCTCTGCGCCCACGTTGGGATTCTCCACTTTCCCATCATCCGTGTGGCAAATCCCTGGGGTGAAATTCCCTCTGCTGAGATAGGGTGGTTTCTGTTTTCCTGACTGGACTTTACCTGATACAGAAAGGAATTCAGACCTGTACTCATTTTCTGGTGGAATTAAAGAAGTGAGGCGTATATGCCTAATGAGGAATAAAACACCTTAAAATCTGCTCTCCCTCTGTCTGTTACTCTCACATTCTTTCACAGGGATGACTGGGGCTCCATCAGCCTCTTTGAAACTTAGCAAAGTCTTCCCCTCCCTACCCCTCCTCTCTTTTCTCTTTCCCAGCCTACTGGGAAAGGGTTGATCTTCCCTTACTCTATCTTAATCTTCAAGTCTCTCCCACATTTTTTCATGTACCTCCTGAGGCCCGTGCTCTGCTGGGGAAGCAATGGAGAAGGGACCCTGGATACTCATATACTAGGAAATAATGTTCCTCGAATATTTCCCAACTTCTTTCTCCTCCCTCCGCAGTTTGAGAAGAAAATTCAAAAAAGAAAGAATATTTTTGTGGGTGATCAACCATTCCCTCCTATGGCTTTTTTTTTTTTTCTCCTTTATAAAAGTAATCACAGGGCTGTGAGTAGAGCTGTCTTACGAGCCTTAAGAACTTCAATCAGTTTCACAGCTGGAGGAAGAGAGCTCAGTTGCAATGAAGAGTAAAATCTTTCTTTTATGGAAAGTAACTTCCCTTTTGAGAACACTGTTCCAGTGAATTTCAATGTCCTCTGCTCTTGAAAAGACAAGCGGAGGGTTTGATAAAGGAGCAACAGGTACTGGTTGACCGGTATGGACTGGACACCAAGAATGAAGAAAATTGAACCTCTGCATTAGCTAACCGTCTATCTTCTCCCAGTCACTTCGGCTTCCACTGCCTCCTAAACTGTTAATGTCAAGTTAGACTGTGATGAATGTAAGGAAGTATTCACCCCTTCTAGCAGGCAGTAATGACCAACACCATCAGGCTTGTGATTGAAATCCTAGACGCCTCTTGCAGAGGGAAAAAAGAGAGAAGCAGTCCCAAGTCTCTAGGAAACCCCCTGATTTTGCATCGTGACAATAATTCCCTCTTGATTTGTCAAAGTAAATAAGTAGACTCTTAATTTCTTCCAAGAAGGATGTATGGAATGCTGAAGAAAGGGAGGTGTGTTGCCACACCAAGATGCCTGATGAATTTTGTTCCTGGTGATGATGAAAAATGGATTTGTGTTCCTTTTATCGCTACTGTGCATGCTATTCTTTTCAGAACTGCCATGATTCCACTCTCTGTGCATCCATGAGTTATGTGGCCCCAGTTTCCTTGCTTAAGGATGACAAATGAGAGGACTTCATCTCCCTAGATACAGTGATTGTCCCAGGGGTGGGCATTTGACCCAAATGAGGCCAATGAGAGTTTTATTTGCATGAGGAGGGAGTTGTTAGGGACTATGGAAGAGAGTGGGTGAAGCTTTTCTTTCTTTGTGAGCGATGCATGCCTGCTGCCGCCATAGACCATCTCTATTACCTTGCGCTAAGAAGCTGCATAAGAATTACACCAACACAAAATCAGATCAGTAGCTGGGGAAGGATTGAGAGGTTTTGAGACAAATACAATGACAAGGTTTGCATTCTTGGGTCTGATCTACCTGAGACACTTGGACATCTCAGTTATTCTTACAGATTGGGTTCCCTGGAAGTATACTCTGAGGTGGAGATTAATGTTCAGGAGTTCGATCTGAGAGTGTCCTTGGAGGTACACACCCGTGGAAAGGAAGGAAAGATAAGAAAACAGGAGCGGGCAGAAGGAGAAGTTGAATTATCATGTGGTCACAAGAAAGGCCTCCGCAATCCTGTAGCCACCACTACCATTTCCTGCTGTAGAAAAACTTTGAGTTGGCTTTCTACCACTTATATCTAGAAGGGTTCCTACTAAAGCATGTGTGATGAAACCCACTTTAATTCCATAGCCATGGTCTCAAAGGTTAGTGGAAGTTGAATAAGGCAGCTGGAATGGGATCCAGACGTTCTATTTCCTGTTTGAAGGAGAAAATAACAAAGTGAAAGAATGGACGGTCAGGGAGGAAGGGGCAATTTTCTGATGTAGGTGATTAAAGGCATTAAGAACATGGTTTTACCTGGTATTGTATTTATTAGAAAGTGAAAATGTCTGGTGGTGAGGATTTAAAATTTAGCTCTTTAGGTTAAATGTGATTTGCATACATTTATTCATGAGAATAAGGAAGAAAATGAGGAAAGCTTACATATTTTCTCCTACTAATCATTGATTTGAATTTAAAACTTTCCAGTATGCTTCCTGTGTAAGTTATTTTCTCTTGAAAAAAAATCTATTTTTACAGACTTATCTTGGTCTTAACAACAGCCAACATTTCTAAAGCATTTTACACATGCCCAGTGCCTTATGTGCTTTATCTCATTTACTTTTCATGACCACACTATAAGGTGTGCAAAATTATCATATGTATTTGAAGTAAGATGAATATTGCACCCCCCCCACCCAGAGATGTCTAGGTACTGATTCCCAGAACCTATGAATATGTTACTTTACATGGTTAGAAGGACTTTGCAGACATGATTAAGTTAAAGATTTTGAGATGGGGAGATTATCATGAATGATTCCGGGGGGGCGAGTGTAATCACAGGGGTCCTTATTAGAAGGAGGCAGGAGGTTCAGAAGCATTGAGAGAGGATGTGAGGGATGAAGCAGAATTCAGACAAGAAAGAAGATGCTATGCTGCTGACTTTGAAGATGAAGGAGGAAGAGCCATGAGCCAAGGAGTGCGAGAAATGCAGCTCTAGAATCTGTAAGAGGCAAGGAAGTGGCTTCTCTTCTGGAGCCTCCAGAAGGAATGTAGATCTCCTGACACCTTGATTTCAGCCTGGTGAAAGTGATTCCAGACCTTGACCTCCAGAACTGTAAAAAAGTAAGTTTGTGCTGTTTTAAGCTGGTCATTTGTGGTAATTTGTTACAGCAGCCATAGAAAACTCATACACTTTACAGACCAGAGAGAAGAGCTGCAAGGACAGAAAGTAGCTTGCCCAGAATCACATGGCTGCCTGACACCAGAGCTGAGATTCGAATCTGTGCAGTCTGATGTATCACTGCTTATTCGAGCCACCAGAATCATTTTGTAAAGCTAGGGCTTCATTGTCAATAATGAAGTCATTTTATGAGCATCAGCTGCTGTCCCAAGACCCCTGGATTGAACTCTGCTATCCTGCTGTCGGTTGGCGACACATATTATAGCTCTTCCCCACAGGACTGATCAGAAT